ATTTGGAAAACTCAACAGTGGCCACAGGATTGGAAAAGGTCAGTTCACATTCTAATCCCAAAGAAGGGCAATGCCAAAGAATGTTCAAACTACTGCACCATTGCACTCATTTCACATGCTAGCAAAGTTATGCTCAAAATCCTACAAGCTAGTATGTGGAATGAGAACGACCCGAAGTACAGGCAGGATTTTGAAGAGGGAGAGGAACTAGAGATCAAATTGCCAACATACGCTGGATCATGGAGAAAGCTAGGGAGTTCCAGAAAAACATCTACTTCTGCTTCATTGACTATGGTAAAGCCTTTGATTGTGCGGACCACAACAAATTGTGGGAAGTTCTTAAAGAGATGGGAGTACCAGACCATCTTATTTGTCTCTTGAGAAACCTATATGCGGGTCAAGAAGCAACAGTGAGAACTGGACATGGAACCACTGATTGGTTCAAAATTGAGAAAGGATTTCGGCGTGGCTGTATACTGTAGCCCTGTCTATTTAACTTATATGCAAAGCACATCATGAGAAAGGCAGGGCTGGATGAATCACCAGTTGGAATTAAGATTGCTGGGAGAAATATCAACAACCTCAGATATGCAGACGATACCACTCTAATGGCAGAAAGTGAAGAGGAACTAACGAGCCTCTTCATGCGGGTGAAGGAGGAGAGCGCAAAAGTTGGCTTGAAACTCAACATGAAGAAAACGAAGATCATGGCATCCAATCCTCTCACTTCCTGGCAAAAAGATGGGGAAAAAATGGAGGTAATGACAGATTTTATTTTCCTGGGCTCCAAGACCACTGCAGATTGGAACTGCAGCCAAGAAATTAAAAGACGCTTGCTCCTGGGGTGGAAAGCCATGGCAAGTCTAAACAGCATACTAAAAAGCAGAGACATCACCCTGCCAACAAAAGTGCGTATAGTCAAGGCTATGGTTTTCCCAGTTGCAATGTATGGCTGTGAAAGCTGGACCATAAGGATGGCTGAGTGCTGAAGGATTGAGGCCTTTGAATTTTGGTGCTGGAGGAGACTCCTGCGAGTCCCTTGGACCGCAAGGCGATCAAACCGGTCAGTCCTGGAGGGGATCAATCCTGACTGCTCTTTAGAAGGCCAGATACTGAAGATTAAACTCAAATACTTTGGCCACCTAATGAGAAGGAAAGCCTCCCTGGAGAAGAGTCTAATGCTGGGAACAATAGATGGCAAAAGAAGAAGGGGACGGCAGAGGATGAGGTGGCTAGATGGAGTCACTGAAGCAGTTGGTGTGAGCTTAAGTAGATTCCGGGAGATGGTGGAGAGGAAGGCCTGGAGGAATGTTTTCCATGGGGTCGTGATGGGTTGCACACGACTTTGTGACTAAGAACAACAACAAATTGTCTTGCTAAATACACAAGATTTGATTTGATAAGAGTAAGGTCAGTTAAAATTGTTCTATACAGGGTAACAGTGCAATCAACCCACATTTTTGGTTTTGACTAGGAATGCAGTAAAATGTTCTGAATGGCATTTTTTCAATATGCTATATGAAAAAAGTCCAGGGAAAATAATCATTTTATGTGTATATCTATTAATTTAGCATCTTTGTTACTCGTCAGGTGGAGCAATCCCATGGTTCCTAGACTATCTAGAGAGCAGTAGGATATTTCTGACTCGCTACTCTGAGACTGGTAAAAAGGGCTCACCTCAGAGCTGGGGACCTGTGCTCAGATTACCTCCCCACTTCTTATTGCTGGAATGGAAAAAACTGCATTGGTCATAGGACCACATTCAGAAATGGGTTAAGAGGGCATTCCAGGGGGTGGGGAGGGAAAGAGACGACACCTATCAATGCAATTTATCCTGGCAGCGCTCTGTCTTCCTTTCCTCACTGTCCTAGGCATCTCAGCTAAACATCTGAAATGCACTGACTAGCTGATTGGTGGGATAGAAGGATCCTGGAGGCAAATTACATGAGAAGAGCCAGCTGGAGCTAGGGGTTAGAGTAGATGGCCTGGGAGGCCCCTTCTGACTCAATTTTTTCTATGTTTCTATGTTTCTCTAATGATGCAAGGGATGTCTGTAATCCTTTTGAGTTCGGAGCTTTATGTGCATTCACACTGGATCCTGTTCTTAGTCACCTCCCAGAATAATTGACAGTAAAATAAAGAATGAAAATGTTTAAAAACAAACCAAAATAAAACCAGTAGCAGTTTTGAGATATAAAATGATAAAATGCAGGTTATGTTAGGTCATCCCCCACTTGTGTTGTGTTGTTTTAAAGCATGGGTCCTCAAACTACGACTCATGGGCTGGATCTGTGGTGAGGTGGCAACTTGCTCTTGCAGAGATTGTTTTGGGCCTCACTGTGTGCGCACCCAGCGGTGGCTTGCTCCCATGGAGATCGTTTTGAGAAAAGGAGAAAAGGATCTCCTCATAAGCAAGCTGCCACCTCACACTGTGTACGCCCAGGGGGCTTGCTCGCTTGGAGAAAATGATCTCCGTGCATGTGCACCCTTGCTGCACATGTGCCTGTTCCCCTGTCCCACACAGGCCCACGCCCCCCCGCCTACGCCGCCTTGGCAGCTCGTGCCCATCGCTGGCACCTTTTAAAGAGTTTTCCTCTATTAAATTACTTTAGCCCAGTGGAAAAATAATAGTGCAAAGATGAAGTCTGAGAATCACTACTTCTCAAGTTTTGCATTCATACTGAGGGTACCTCAACATAAAGCCCTGCATTTCATTCCATGCTACACCCACAAGAAAACTTTCTTCTCTCCTTCCTCCTGCTTTTTATGCTGCTCAGAAAACTGCTCTGCCTGCCTTCTAACTTTCTGGTGCAAATTTTAAAGCTGTATTGCAGGGGGGATATTGGCTCCTCTCTGTACTGCTTTAAGATGGAAGAGTTTTGCTTAGGTCCCTGAGCCCTCAATGCTGCATTGTACAGAATTTGGCTTCAATCTTGAAACAGAATCTTCTGGCATTGCAGTAACTGCTCTGCTTAAGTGTGAACTGCCATTGACAGGTCTTTGGAATTTGAACCTACACTTGTTTTTTGTTTGTCTAACAAACCTATCCCTTGCAACATTCTGACTTGCATGAATTTCAGTATGAACTATGGGCTTGAACCTGACCCAGTATCTAAGAAAGGCTCAGTGGAAAATGGTCTCAATTTATTTTGAGGTGATATTAGAACCAGCAGGATTTTCTGCATGATTTCTAGCAATTCTCTTTTTCACACACACACCTGCACACACCCCTACCTACCTCTTGGGTAACTTTCAGGTTACTGTCACCCCAAACCAAACTAGAATTTCCACAGTTGGAAGCTGCTCATCAAATAATACCGTAAGCATCACACTGATTTTTCCCCTCTAAACTATTTCAGATATAAGGGTACAAAAGTATAATGTCGCCAATCCTTCCCTCTCTCATTCTTTTTTCCTTTCCAACCACTGCTTTTAGTTTAGCCAACTTTTACACTATCCCAGGATCAGTAATAACTACTGGTTTAAGTCATTTGTTACTGCTCCTTTTCTCTTTGGCGTTTTCCTGTGTTTGCTGGACAGATTGATAAGAGCCATTACTAATAATTGAGTGCCATCTGAACAATTGTTTACTGCTTAAGGAATATTTTTTCATATAAACCACATATTCCATATGGAATTGGGTCCCTAAATCCCTGTTAAAGCATGCTATAGGTGACACAGCTTCTGCTAAAAAATAGGTAACTGCTTTTGTTCCAATGTTGTTATAGCAGAGCAATAGCAGGGTTAAAAAATCCACAAGAAAATTTAAGTTCTGTTTCAGTTGGATCTTGCTTAGCAGTGCATTAATTGGTACTAATGTAATTGTTTCATTGGTGTGACAAATGCTGATACTCCCTTTTAATGAAAGCTGGCCATCTAGAATTATGCCCCTTTTATGGGGGGAAAGGTATAATTCCACCATACCATCTCTTGGAGGTACCCATGGAGGAAAAGAATTTGTAGGTGAGGACCAACCTGATATTTTCTGTAACATAATAATACTTTATGTTCTGCTCTGCTGCAGACACATGTACAGTAAAAAGAAAGTTTGGTGCATTTTCATGCCACTTGCATATCATCCATCTTGGTCCTTAAAATTACTGATGTAGGAAATTAATTCAAATAGAGATGCAAAGGATATAATAGCGAGGCATGTTAACTGCATGAAAAATGCAATGGGTGAAGCCATTTAGAGGGCAATCCTATGCCTGTTTAGACAGAAAAAGTCCTACAACTGCCAGCATTTCCCAGCTAGCCATGCTGGCAGGGAAATGCTAGCTATTGCAATGACATTTTTCTGTCTAAACAGGCGTAGGATTGCACCCTTCGGTACAATAATAGCAAATGAATAAACCCCAACACATGTCAATTATCTTTATTGGGAAATTATTCAATGGCTAAATAGGGAAAATGCATCTTCTCTACTATTTGTTTCCAAGTATTCTTGCAAATGATTTTCACTGCAATAATTGAAAACATTTTTCCCCTGATGGAAATAATCAGAATGTGGTAGGAATTACTCAATAAATTGTCATTGTATCCAACTGACTTTGCGTATTTCACTTTCCACTTTCTTTTGCATATTTCACTTTCTCAGCTCACACATATCAGCATGTGGATAGTGGAAAAGGACCAGCCATGTAAGCATGGGTAGCTGCAGAGGAGAGCTCCTTGCACTAACAATCCAAAGTCATGGTGCTTCTCTTTCATCTTTTCTTCCTCAAATGCTTATCTTGTGGAAAGACAGAAGACACATGGAGCAGTGGAGAAATGTAGGAGGGTTGCAGATTGAAGATGATGCCATGTGGACCATACTTTCCATTTGGGAACAAGATGCGACACTTGCATAATTAAATCCCCAACTTGACACCCTCTATGTGAACCATGTCAGCAAGATTTAGTTTGTTTAGTTTAGTGCCACAACAATTGTGCAAAATCTATTACAGTTCAGTTGTCTGATACGCAAGTAGTTCTTATCATGCTTTCTGTTCTTTTTAAAGGATCATCTGTTTCATCTAGAAGCACACAGACTTGAGAGGGGACGTGGAAGGTGCCCATTTGACCCCAATTCCTCCTTCATCTCCACTTTATTTGGTAATAACTTGACATAAACCATAAGGGGATTTCTGAGCTTCTTTGTTTAACTTTCCACTATTTATTTAGAATCTTTGATATGCCAATTCTACTTTTGTGTATATTAATTTTGCATTTAAAGTTCATTGTTTCTTGGGGTTGATTATACCACAGATACTGTTACATTTTTATTTTGCCATTGTGATTGTTACGGATTTTTGAATAATATTGGGGAATCTTTAAAATAGAGATCTTTACCTTTAAAGCAACGCTGCACATTTAGAAAACAACAACCAGGTATTACAGTCCTGTGTTGTGTTCTTTTTTGTATAGCAGAGCTCCAAAACCTTTGGCCCAGGTGTCAAATCTAATTATCCAGGGTTCCCCAGAGATCCATACCCCCTTTTGCCTAGCCACCAATTCCTTGGTGGTTTCCCAGCTTTTCTAGTTTTTTTCCTCATACTAAAAAATTGGAATGCCTTTCCTTAGGACTTATTATTGCCAGTACAATTTGTAAACTAAAGATATGCTGTTACTTTTGACTATGCCTTTTCCCCTTTGCTCTTGCCCTCTAAGAGCTTGGATTGGAAGGGGTTTAATACTGCTGATGTCAAAGATCATTTTGGATTGCAGAAGAGATAAAAACATGCCTACTGACCTTACTTTTGTCCTCAAGGTCTTGTTTGTACAAGCATTCTTCAGAGATGCAACCGCAGTGTAAAAATGGATAATGAGACAGATTAATCATAGCTGATCTACACATGCTTTTGTACAATTAGGACTTCAATCATATAGAGATTCTACCTCTGCAGAATTATGAATGTCTGCAAATGTGTTTGTGTCAAGAGGCACAACTGTCCTATTCATTTGACTGTCCTTCTCCTGAGTCGAGAAAGCTACTGGGCATTATAATTTGATGATCTTACTGTGAGTTTGGGGGATGTAGACAGAGAGCTGTAGGTACAATAATCGCAGCTAGGATTGTAACTACCACAAATGCTTCTGTGCACCCCACCTTAGATTTCCATTGCCCAGCAAAGCTTGTTTGAGAAACACCTGTTAACAGAAGAACATATGAAGAGCAAAGCTGTGTCAGAGGTTCCCTGTGATCCCTCCCTTACTTCACCACGAATATTGATGTTGTTCATGGAGGAATGAGAACTTGCCATGTCCATTTATATTTGAAACTCAATGAACCTTCTGTCTGATGCAGTGCACTATAATTCTCCAGCTTCCTCTCATGGTCAAGATTCTTTTCTCTGGGCTTCTTGAAGTGTTTGCATGTGAAACAATCTGCTAGGTAAATAAGGCAACCTATCCATTTGCTCACCAGAGATGTATGAGAAATTCAGTTTGGTTTGATCTGATCAGGATGTTACCCAGCTCACATTTTCCAAATCAAACACAGACTTGGACACAATTTGCAGTCAAAGGCTGTTGTTTCTGAGCTTTCAGTATGACTCAGAAAGTGTTTGTTATGTATTGTTTCAGAAATATGAGTAGATCTAAAATATGTACAAATATGCTTTAATCATGCGAGAAGAGTGCACAATTTTGATGTGTATGTTTGGAAAAATATGTGCAGAAATATGTACAGATTTTCATGTGAAAAGAAAAAAAAACAATGCTTGCAATTTGATGCATAACCGGAGTTGGAACATGCTTCAAGATAGAATTCAGAGCACTTTTGCTGATTTGCACCTCCCCAGATCTAGTCCATTGAACCTCCTTGAGAGAGGCAGCCTATGCATACATCTCATACACTTTACACAGCCATTCTTCTCACCAAACAAATGAGGTGTCAGGATGGCACCATGTCAGTTACTCAGAGGTGTCAGTTATTCAGAGAAGAATATGCCGAACTGATTGTTCGACTCATAAAAAGTTGAACAGTGCTGTCCAGGGATGTCTTGTGTATCCCTAGTGGACACATGACTATTTTGACAGATTTACCTAACAGAATTATAGCACACTGTATCAAATATAATTTTTGAGCTTCTAATGCTCTGTTTCAGACATACATGTGCAAGGCAAGTGAGGCTGCATGTGATGTTGCTTCCCATGCAGGGTTTTTTTTTTCTTTGTTTGTTTTTCTTGGTGGAGGTGAATGAAATTAGCCCCATTTAGCCCCAAAGGTAATTTGAGCACAGAACTCTCTCCCTGTGTACTGATGTTCCCAGCTGGATTGGATTAAAGGGACACAAGAGCTTATATACCTATCTACCTCCATGGTACACTTTCCCAGAGAATGACAGGATAATTATATTTGAGTTTTTAAAATACTGCATGTGTTCTGTACCCTTTTTTATTCAATGTAACCCCAGCAGACACCTCTGCTTAAAGCAGGCCTCCCCTAGTCTGCTGTGTGCCAGATGTTTTACATTACAAGTCCCATCATCCCTGGCCATTGGCCATGCTGGCTGAGGATGATGGAGGCTGTGATTTAAAACATCTGGAAAGCAGTAGGTTGGAGAAGGCTGGATGAAGGCATGGAAGAAGGCATTCCCTGCTGCAGTATTGTTCCTTTGTGGTTTCGGTGCATTACTTGAAAATTTTTCACACTATCTGACCAAACTTAAGTATCTCTAAAACCTCATGATCTCAGTGGGAGAAATTTCAGTACTTCCTTGCCTTTCACACTGAAACAGAATTAGCACATTATTCTTATTTATTTGTTCTTTGTTTAAAGTTTTCATGTGAATTAGCTTAAAGACTTACTTTGGATATGCCATCTGACCTGGTGCTAAGGAGAGGAAGTGAGGAACAGTTCCATTTCTGAACAAATAAACTGAGTTACAATGAGGAAATAAAACAGACCTTTAACCACAGATAATGTGACATAAAAATGTTAAATGGGTAGATAAATTCCACAAACAATATTTTGACCCAAGTATCAAAAACAAATGAACTCTTGTATCTGCTTTCAATAAAGCAAAGCCCTACTTGGTAATAAATCCCATTGGCAGGTTGACAGAGACCGCAGTAGTTCTTGAGAGGATAATTTTCTTCAGGCGCATGGCTTTTGATATGTAGCACACAGTAGTGCCCCTCTTATTGGCATCCTTTCTTGGCCAGAGCTTTTCCACAGCTGAGGCTGAGATATGGCTCACCCCCACAGGTGGTGGGAAGGCGCGTGCTGTGGGGGCTGCAGCGCCGTCGCCAGTCCATCCAGGTAGAGCATCTCAAGTAGCAGGAGTAGGAAAGATCTGTTTCAGATCCATTGATTGATTACTGCATTTATATGGCCGACCCATAACAGAAATTCTCTGGGCAACTCATAAAGAAATATAGTATTCGATATAAGAATATAAAACTGCCAATCTCATCCTGCCCTTACATAAATCTGTGGAGTAAGCTGCATGTAAAGGGATATTATAGAATTGGAAAAAGTTCAGAAAGGGGCAATGAAATTATGAGGCATTTGGAGCAAGTCCCCTGTGAAGAAAGGCTGCAGCAGCTGATACTGTTTAGTTTAGGAAAAAAGCAAATAAGGGGACACATGATATAGGTACCCAGAGTAATATATGGTGTGGAGAAAGTGGAGAGGGAGAATACTTTTTCCCTCATCCATAATAAGAGAATCTGGGGTCATCCCATAAAGTGAATCAATTCAGGACAAATAAAAAGAAGCACTTCTTCACACAGTATGCAGTTAAACGTAGTTAAACAATAATTCATGATTTAAGAATGCCCACCAGTTTGGAGGGCTTTATAACAGGATTGGATAAGTTCAGACCGGAGAAGACTGTCAGGGGCTTCTAGTCCTGATGGCTATATGCCATGCATGCTTGTGTCCACCTGTGCGCCTGTGTACAGCAGCTGCTGGGGAACATGGGTAGAAGGGCTCCATTATGTCCTGCCTGTGGGTTTTCTGTGGACAGCTGGTTGGCCACTGTGTGAACAGAAAGTTGGACTAGATGAACCCTTGGCCTGATTCAGCAGTGGTTTCTTATGTTCATATAATATTAATTAAAATGCTTAAGTTAAAAACACAATTTTAAACTGACAAGCCCTTTCAAACAAAATTATTTAAAAGACCTCATTGAATATTCACTTTGTACCAAAATGCCCATGAAGATCAGCTTCTCTGGGGAGGCTGTTTCTTAACTGAATTGCCAGTATTGGAAGCACCTGCTCCATACTGGTTGCCTGCCTCATCTCACTTGATGGGAGCACTCCAGGAAAAATCTTTGAGGATGGTCTTAGGGTTAGCTAGGTAGATTTGGAGAAGGTTTCTCTCATGCAACCTGTTCTCAAGCAATTTTGCCCCTCAAGGCATCATTTTATCTTTGTCCCAAAAACTTCCTGATCATACCATTGAGCAATTCAAGCCTAATGTGGTCAGAATTCCTAGTTTCTGTTAATTTTCTGGTTGTTCTAAGCTGCTGTTTCTAAGCTATTTCATGCAAACACACACACACAACTAGATATGACCTGAAGAGTGTGTAGTATTGAAACATTGCCAATATGCTGTATTCCATTTGTTTTCATACATTACCTTTATTTTTAGACATGACCCAGTCAAAATGATGGCTTTAGAGTCCCCATTGATGCAACTGTAGAGTTACCTGTGTATTTCAACATACTCTGTTGAAATCACTGAGGATCTTGAAAGACTCAAGTGTATCTTGAATTTGACCTTCTGTTTTTGACAAGATGTATGTGGCACCATATGTAAAGAATTGTTCCCCAACCTGGTGTCTTCCAGATGTACATGACAGTTGTACAACCCTTAATACTTCTGACCAGTGAAGCAAGACTGAAACATCTTCAGGGCATCCTGCTAGGAAAGGCTGACCTAAAATAAGCCTTTTCCACATCTAGCAGAATATTGAAGAGAGTCTACAGGCTATATTTCATATGTGACTCGCAATCAGAAGCCATCATCTCAAAGCACACACACTTTGCAGGTTGTCTTCCATAAGAAAGAGAACTGCAGTGCACAAAGTGAAAATGCCATTGCAAATGCTCAAATCCTCCTCACCATATCCCCAAATGGGAGGATCCTGTATATTGGGAGGAAGGGGATGGCAGAGAATGAGGTGGCTAGATGGAGTCACTGAAGCAGTTGGTGTGAACTTGAGTGGACTCCGGGAGATGGTGGAGGACAGGAAGGCCTGGAGGAATGTTGTCCATGAGGTCGTGATGGGTCAGACACAACTTCGCAACTAGCAAGCAAAATAAAGACCCTATAGAGACCAATATGAGCTTCCTCAGATCCACTGAGGTTCAAAAACTTCATTTAGGAATTTGTTTCATAATTTACACACACCTTTAATTCTTCTAGTAATGTCTGTAGTTGGATGCAAGCTTGATAAAGGACATACTTGCAGAAAACCTCTTATAAAAGTCTAGTCTACAGTATACAGTGGTACCTCAGCTCACAAATGCCTTGGTTTATGACCAAATTGGGTCACAAACAAAAATTTCATGAAAATTTTGATGTGGGTCACGAACTCCGCATTGGCTGGCAACCAGGATCACAGCCATCTCCCCCTCTCCTGAGTGAGGAGGTGGCAACAATTGCAGTTGCGTTCATGCAGAGAAGACATACGTGATCATGAGCGCCCTCCTGCAGGAAAGATGGGCACAATCTCAGCCATCTCCCCCCCCACCACAACAGCAAGATTGGCCGAGATTGTGTCCCTGATTATGCCCACCTTTCCTGCAGGAGCGCACCCATGATTGCGCCCGGCTTTCCTGCACAAGCACAACCACAATCTCGATCATCTCCACCTCCCGCCAGCATGATCATACCCGTCTCTTTCTCCCCACCCAGTGCATCGGGATGACAGGCACATGCAGTGATGACAGGTGTGATCTCGGTCATGCTGGGGGGGGGGGGGAGCGGGGAGATGGCTGCACTTGTGCTCAGGGTGGGGAGGGGGAGATGGCCACAATCTTTGTTGTTCTTTGTCACTTTGCTTCACATTTTCCTGATTTAAAAAGAATAGTTACAGAATGGATTAACCTTATTTACATTGAACCTTATGGGGAAATTTAACATGGCTCATGACCAATTTGGGTCACAACCAAAGTCATGGAACAGATTAAATTCGTGAGCCAAGGTACCACTGTACTGAATTTTTGAAAGTGCAACAAAAATCGGCTTTCATGTGTGATAGCAACGATGCCAGGCAAAATTTTGTGGATGACTGAAAACTCAGTGAATGTTGATCTACCTACATGCCATGATTAGTATTCCCTGAAAAGTGGGAATAGAGATATTCATTTTCAAACCTCATAATACCAATCCAAATTATCATCATTTGGGAACATCAACATCCCAAATTTAAACTCAGGCTGAAATATTTGTTGAATGGAAATGTTCTGAAAGGATTTCTAGCTTCTAGCGCATGTACAACAAGCCATGTTTAAGGAATGGCTAATATTAATTAGTGAAGCCCTGAAACAATTTGTCAGCCAGCCCAACCCAACACTTGAAAGCTTTCCCTTCTCAGTTGGAGAAGATGCCCAGAAGGGGAAAGTCTCCCTGTCTGAGGAGGGATGATTGTGCCTGCATTTTCTTGCTGCTCCTTCCCTTTCCCATTTTCCCACAGTTCATTTTTCCCACTTAGTTCATTTTTGTGCTTCTGCAAACTTTACTGTTTCATTTTTCATGCTGATGCCTCCCTCTTGTGCATGGATCATGCCATTTGGGCTCTTTAAACAATAATGCAGCCCATGAAGCTGAGGAATGAAGGAATTATTTACACAGAGATTAGATTTTAGGAGTATTTTCTTGCTCTTGTTTATTTGTCGATTCATTTGCTGATATATTGTTCTATTTCAATACCATGTCTGTGTTTCAAATCAATATCCATTCTCTATTAAATAAAGACTAAGGTGAAACTGCATGTGGGTAACTACAAAGTTACCAGAAATGAATTTGTTATTTCCTCAGAAAGCAACATATCCATCCCTCTAATCTTGGATAAGAGTTCTTGTATAATTTGCTATCTTGTTCTGTGTCTGTGTCTGAGCTATTGCACATGTGCAATATCAAGTTGCCTCTTGGGAGTTGTAGTCTGGAATTGTGTGATGCATCCTATTACTATCCATCAGCATATTATATACTCCTTTCGGACTGCTTGTTCCATGTGGCCTTTCTACATAATATTTACTTGTCTTCACCAAACAGTGTATGAAAGTAAAACAGATGGTTCAGTCTATTTACATGTATAGGACCCATGTGACTGTTTTTGAGTATTACTAGTTTGTTGACAGAGTTCAAATATTAGCATTCCCCTGAAGAGTTCAATGACATCATCTCATCTCCTCCTGGAAGATAAGAGTTAAACCAACCTCAGTGCATGAAGAGAAATGCTGCAGTTTAGATGCAGAATCACTGTATTCCAATGTTTCAAAATCAGTCTGTTTCAAAATCAATAATGAATTCCTATAACAGTCATCAAAACTCACTACAAAGATACTCACTGCAATCAGATGAGTCTCAACCAACAAATGGACTAATTACAAAAGTTGGCAGCATTGCTACAAGGTGGGCTTCTGGGGCTAGAAAATATCTCTGAGTTTACCATGATGCTCTACATTGACAAGCTGTTCAGAAGCATTATTGAGAATTACAGCATCATCCATTCCAGATGCATCCCTGAAACTGAAATGAAACTCACACTTCTTGTAAGCAGCAAATAAACATTGCAAGTGCTTCAGAAAATACAACAGTGATGATTAATATTAAAATCCTACCAGTGATATCAGTCAAAACTGTTGTGGTTTGGTTTGGTTAAAGTTTTAAAAGGTAAACAGATCTTTGTTAAAGGAGAAAATATCCACAGAGATTGATTTAGAAAAATGAAGAGTTAATTTTCTTTCCATGGTATAATTTGTTTCCCATTATTTGTGATGTATGGGTGCCATCTAGTGGTGCACACATATGTATATATAAATGAATGATGAAAAGAAACACTTTGAAACCACTAAGTTATACAATCCCTTTCTTAAAAGCCAGAAAAATCAACTGTTCAAAATCTTAATTGCCTTTCTGTTATTTAAGTAGAAGTTTATGTGCTGAGTTCCTGTCTTCATTTGTATTCCTTGAACAGTGCCTGGTAAGTTTTACTCTTACTACTTGGAAACATCTTCATATTTTAGGCCAGGTTTATATATGTATCTTCCTGAATCAAGTGGGCATCACTTTTCCTTGACTGTAACACTTTCAACTACAATTGAGGCTTGGAAGAGTATTCCAGGTGAATATGGAATGTGTGTATGTGTGTGAGAGAGAACATTAAACACACCATGCCTCGGAGAAGTTCAACCTGGCGTGCTAGGTTTCAACACACAGGAAGGGTTTAGTGGTTAGGACCTGAGGAGTTATGGGGGAAGGTCCCGTGAACTCTGAAGTGGTACAGTCCAGGTAAAACTGCACTCACCTGATTCTGTGGTTTAGAGAACTTGTCAGATGCATCATCATACAGCATGTTGTGTAAGAATCGCAGGCCTGTTCACTTACTCTGAATGCCTCTGACTTTCAGGTGGAGAATTGTTTGCTGGGCTCTACAATGACTACTGGGGGAGAGATGCTGCAGTTTTCCGCACCATGGGTCGCACAGGACACATCCGGACTGAGCCAGATGATGACCGTCTCCTGAAAGGTACAAGGGGTCCGTAAGAAATCCTTATCAAAAAATAATTATGTTGTGTTTCCCCAGCTAGAGCAGATGTACCCTGAAAGCTAAGCTACAGCAATATGAGCTGCACGGAAAGTCCTCTGTCGCCATCATACCCCAAAGCCATGCAACTCATGAGCAGCCAGTATTCAGAACATTAAATGGCACTGTGAGGAAGGCTTCCGACATGGGTGTTTGCTGTGTCAGGGCCCATGGAGTTGTATGGTGGATCCATTCAGAAGTAGGCTTTTGATCACTTTGGGGAATGCCAATAGCTCCTATGGCCCAATCTCCTTCCCGACAATATTAGCTAATTCTATAGGGCAGGTGTCTGGCAACCATTTTTGATCCTAACCCATCCCTCACCATAAGTCACACCTCCCCATCACCACTGCAGTAGTAGCAATCACCATCTTCTTTTTCATCATCATCTTAAAAATTGCATCTTGAGCAGGTGCAGAACAGCAAAGAGTTATGTCTGCTTGTTTGCCAGTTAATGAAAACCTTTTGGGTGCTTTACAGAGCACTAAAGAGGTCATTTAAAAAAGCCTTGCAGTTTTGAGGGGCAGCAGGGGGGCTTACTAGAGAGGAAGAATTGTCTGAGACCTGAAAAAGAGCTAAATGAGCTGCCAGAGGATGCTGCAGATGAGAACAGTGCAGAGGCATTCTCTATCTCTGCCCACACCTAAGTAAGGTATATTCTATGACAAGGTTTCAAGGTGGCTAGATGGAGGGGATGCAGTGGATGTGGTTTACCTGGATTTCAGCACAGCCTTTGACAAAGTGCCCTCTGATATCCTGGTGGAGAAATTGAGGAGACCAATGCACTGTCCAATGGATTAGGGCATGATTGAGACCGAAAGCAGAGGGTAACCATTAGTGGGGAATCATCAGGATGGCAGCCAGTGACAAGTGGGGTCCCCCAGGGCATTGTCCTGGGGCCAGTCCTGTTCAATCTTTTCATCAACGACATGAAAGAAGGTGTGAATAGTCTGCTGATCAAATTTGCAGATGATACTAAAATGGGGGCAGTGGCCACAACTGAGGAGCAGGATCTGGACAGACTACAGAAGTGGGCAGGAGACAACAGGATGGTTGGTGGCCGGTTTGCAGGGGATGGGGTATGAGGCGAGACTGAGGGAACTGAGTCTCTTCAGCCTAGAGAAGAGGAGACTCAGAGGGGATCCATTGACAACGTACAGATATGTGAGGGGATGTCACATGGAGATGGTAGAGACCTGTTCTCCCCTGCAGAGGAGGGCAGGACACACTCCAGCGAAGTAAAGCTCAGGGAACCAAGGTTCAATTTGGATGCCAGGAAGTACTTCCTGACAGTTAGGACCCCAAGGGAATGGGCTTCCATAGGAGGTGGTTAAAGCCCCATCAGTGAGGGTGTTCAAAGATACACTAGACATAAACATGGTGGGCATGTCGTGAGCAGAGCCAGCTAGAGCTGGGAGTCAGACTAGATGGCCCAGAAGGCCCCTTCTGACTCGCTCTGTTTCCATGTTTCTACATGTGTGGCTGTTACCCTGAGAAAAAGGCATAGGGAAGGCATACAGTCTGGGCCTATGTGTACATGGGTGCACATCTGTAATGGCTGCCACACATGTTCTTTCTTACGCATCATGGGAGAGCAGGCGAGTGCACACCAGTTCTTCTGGCATGCATTGGACATTGTGAACTGGCTCATTCTTTGAAATGCTCCTCGAACTACAGGCTGTTTTGAACATGGGCTCTGGAAGATCTCCCCAGATTGCAGTCCTTTGTAGCCTTACCTGGACATAACATCCTTTGAACATAGTGAGTCTTTCTTCTGCCCAAACATGCAAAGGATTAGGCAATTTCCTTGGCTGCTCATGAAAGGTGGCTGTCATTTTCCTTTGCGCCTCTTATGCCTGGAATTTGTCCCAAGAATGTTGATGATAGAGGGGATCCAGATATAGGCAAGATCAAGTGCATCAAAAATGTGGCAAAAAGTTAGAAGACACCAGTGTGTGGGACAAGCTGTGTAGGGTAAAGACGGGATCCTCAGAATTGGGCATAGGGAACATATGCTCTTACAGAAAGAAAATCCCATGCTGTTCTCTTGCTCTGTACTTCAAATTCCTCCACAAGAATTCCTCCTAAAGTACTGCACAAGGTTGGAGAAGGAGTGTAGAAGGAGATGCATATGCTGCAAATACAGAATGAGATTCTTTCCCAAGATGCCCTTGTTTATGGCCTTCCTCCCAAAATGCAGTAGAAACAGGAAGTCAGCATATGCATAATCAGGTTTTCTCACCTTCTTCAGCTTTCTGTTGTTCAACTTTAATTTGCATTATCCTTGACCAAGGATCTGATGTTTTTGTCAGGTACATTGTAGGAACCTTCTAGACTAATAACCAAACGATTCAAAGTAGTCAAAGAATTATACCTATAATTCCTTTGACTACTCTATAAGATGTATAGAGGTAATCCAGAGCTTCCCCAAGGGCAACCAACCTTACTGCCTGGTTGATTATGACAAAGTCAAATCAGAGTATTCACATGGTTCTGATTTAGCAACAAAAGCAGTGAGATGCTTTCAACCTGCACATCCTTCTATTAAAGCTCTCACATCTCACTCTTACTCCCTGTGCCAAAGGAATACAGCTCAGTGATTTTGAGTCTTGTTTTGTATAGAGCCACATATGGCTGCATCAACTCCATGCCAAGTTTCAGACTAATATAAAGAAGAATAAATGAGCCCCAGGGATGGAGACTGGAAAAAGATCTTAGTTGTTTTGTGCATGTATGAAAAAACGCTGATAACTATGTTGGAGCTACACAAATATTTTCCAAAGTGATATTCTCCATGTGTTCAGAGAAGATTTCACTCACATGAAACAGTTTTTAAAGTTTGTCTGTTTGTCCCCTTAGAGAACGTAGTGGTGGTTATGCCTCTGCTGTTCTTTTCTTGTTTACGATAAGCATACTGCAAATGTGCGTGCGTGTTTGTAGTTAAGGCAGAGCTGTAGAAAAAGAGCAATTCAAGCAAAAATCAATGGCATTTACTCAGTAATGGAAAGAAAAATGATTTCATGAAATTGGCTTTCTTTCGATGTTGTTCCCAAGTTTGGTTCACCCAAATCCCATTGGATTCAATGCGGTTTACTTCTAGTTCATCCATGATTACTCTGCTCCCCTCCCACACACACACGATTAATTGCAGTGGCACAATGGGTTAAACCACTGAGCTGTTGAGCCACTAGGCTGTTGAACAAAAGGTTGGCAGTTCAAATCCACGTGATGGGGTGAGCATCCACTGTCTTGTCCCTAGCTTCTGCCAACCTAACAACTTGAAAGCATGTAAATGCAAATAGTTAAATAGGTACCACTTTGTTGGGGATGAAGCAGAGCCCTGTGAAGTCATGTCCACATGACCACAGGAACATTTTCAGACAGTGCTGGCTCATGGCCTAATAAACGGAGATGAACGCAACCCCCTATAGCCTTTTTGGCTAGCGGAGTGGAATCAGCAGGGTCACCCTTCCCTTGCCTTGCCTTGCCTTGCCTTGCCTTGCCTTGCCTTGCCTTGCCTTGCCTTGCCTTGCCTTGCCTTGCCTTGCCTTGCCTTCCCTTCCCTTCCCTTCCCTTCCCTTCCCTTCCCTTCCCATTGCTGAGCTGCTGACTGCTACATGAGCATAAAGTACCACTGGCTTTGAGTTGGGGGTAAAATCTTCCATTCAGTTTAAGGTGTGCTCACATAACCTTGGCCTTAGCAAGCTGCAGTTTGGGATAGCCTCCACACCTATGACTGCACTTTCTAGAGCCTAAGGACTTCACTACATGAACCCTTTATCCTGTTTTCACTCATCACTCTGCTGGGGCTTCTGCTTCCATATTCTTTGTCAGATTGAATATTGTTTCTTCACTCTGCCCCGAGTTTCTTTCCCTGCCTTAGCCCATGCCCCATTTCAAGGTGGCCCTGCTACACAGCTGAATTACAAAACTATCCAGCCATTTTGTAGCATTTTATAGTGTGCCTGCCCTTTAATAGCTCATTATGCTTCTTCTACAAAAAGAGGCAGAAATGCTTATAAAAGCTCAGGAGAGGCCCTGGAGGATGTTGGCACCATGTAAAGCACCTGATTTGGCTGTTGGACAGTACCAAAATGTGCTATAATAAATGTAATAATAATAATAAATGAAATCAAATCACAGGAGAAAAGTAAATTCCTCAAATATAAAATCCCAAGTCTTTCTGCTTTGCTCCATTACTTATGATGCATATGTATACTAGAAACTAAACTTAAAACAGATTCAAAAGTAGTGCAAAATTCAAGATATCAAAAAGATCTTGAATTGTGGTCCGAGACCAAAACATTAGGAAGCACTGGGGTGGCTACTTATACATCACTTAAAAAAAAAAGAGGTTAAAGGAGAACACAGCTACATTTGTATATGTTAACATATATGTGTAGATGTGTATTTAGAAATAATTACTAAAATGTAAGTAGAAATACAATATATCTCAATATCATGAGGAAAAAACACAGTCAGGAAAAACTGAACAGTTAGATCTCATTAAAATTGTCTGTGTGAAATGTGTATGTTTATCACTGGTCTTCCTTAAATAAACTTATTCATCTCTCTTTCTCTCTTTCTTTAAAGAACCTAAATTTGTTAGCTCCTATGTGATTCCAGACAACGAAGACCGAGAGGACAACAAGGTGTACTTCTTCTTTACTGAGAAAGCCTTAGAGGCAGAGACAGGAACTCATGCTATCTACTCCAGAGTGGGAAGAGTGTGTGCTGTAAGAATCCTTTGATGATTACCCCTAACTTACAATATGTCCCTGATTTTTGCCTGTAGCTTTGGAGGCTTTACCATCAGGAAAGCTAAACATAAAATAAGGGCCAAGCTAAAATAGAATATGTTAAAACAAACCAAACCTGAATCCTAATTTTAACCCCAGACTCCATATCAAGGAGTCAAAATATCTACTGATGTGGTTGTGGCCACCCACTTTACTGTGCTTCTGGCATAGGTCAGCTATGCATTGTAGAACTCATCCAAAATGAGTGACATAAAAGAAAACATGAAGGGAAACATAAAAGGAACCAAGAGAAGGACCCACAGAAAGAAAGCAGCGAGCTGAGTGTAGGGCTGTATGCAACATTTGACTTTGCTCCTTACCTTAACTCCATTTCCAGATTTCACTCAGAGCTTTTGGGAAAAAATTATTATTATTATTATTATTATTATTATTATTATTATTAAACATTTCTATGCCGCCCCTTGCCGAAACCTCGGGGCGGCTTGCAACATGATAAAATACATTGAAATACAATAGTACATAATAAATTATCATTAAATATAAGAATACAAAAAATACATTGATTTACAAATATAAAATTAAAATTATTAGTATAAAATAAAAATATAGGAGGAGAAAGAGAAGGAAGAAGAAGTTGCCCAGGCCAGATCATATGTTTTAACAATTGAAATGATGTTTAAATAAAAAGGTCTTTACCTGGCGCCGAAAAACCGGTAACAACGGTGCCAGGCGGACCTCTTTGGGGAGTGAATTCCATAGGTTGGGCGCCACCGCAGAGAAAGCCCTCCTCCGGGTACTTACTCTCCTAATTTCTTTCATGGAGGGTTCCCAGAGAAGGGACTCTCCCGCAGATCTCAAAGGGCAGTCGGGCATATACGGACGTAAGCGCTCATTCAGGTAGCCAGGACCCAAGCCGTTTAGGGCTTTATAGGTCATAATCAACACCTTGAATTGGGCCCGGGCTTCAATGGGAAGCCAGTGAAGCTGACGGAGGACTGGAGTCATGTGAGCATAACGCCCCATCCCCGTCAGCAACCTGGCAGCTCTATTTTGAAGTGTTCGGACTGTCTTCAGGGGAAGCCCCACGTAAAGCGCGTTACAGAAGTCTAGGCAGGAAGTCACCAGCGCGTGTGTCACCGTGGCCAGGCAGTCGTACTCCAGGTAGGGGCGCAGCTGATTAATCAGCCGAAGCTGAAGGAAGGCGTTCCTCGCTACCGCTGTCACCTGAGCTTCCAAAGAAAGCTCCGAGTCGAGGAGTACTCCTAAGCTGCGGACCTTATCCCTAAGAGGGAGTGTTGCACCATTCAGGACCAGGTCAAATCCACCCTCTCCGAAACCCGATCCGCCAACCAACAGGACCTCCGTCTTGTCTGGGTTGAGTTTCAGTTTATTGGCCCTCATCCATTCCCTTACCTCGGCCAAGCACCGGTTCAGCACAGCCACTGCCTCACCTGGATTAAAATAAAATGACATCTCTACACTAAGCCTAACAGAAGAAACCAAGGAGTCTGACTTGGTCTGGGGGAGGAGGGGGAGAGGTCAGTCTTATCATCATCATGGTTTTCTCAGAAAAAAGTCCAATTTGTTTCCATGGGACTTTCTTTCATATCAGCATGCTTCTCAATCCCATCCTGTGCCTGTCCACTGAAACACAAATGCCACTGAGTTAAATGGGACTTGCTCCAAAGTGAATGTGCATGGGATTGCATGGGAAAGTCTCATTCAACTTTATGGAAGACACTTCTGGCTCAACACACATAGGTTAGGCTGCTTCTGTCATCCATCTTGCCATTATCTTTTGTGGCATTGTTAAATAAGTGCAGGTGATTAAACAGGAGAGTGCGAAATAGCCATTATGTTCACATTACCAAATCCAGTTAGGACTAATCAGATTCTCTTTGCATTGATCTGAGAAGGACAACGTGTAGGATGTAGTGCTGATCCACACTGTGGAATGTTTTGTCCTACAGTGTGGATCAGCATGAGCCTGCATAGCTAATGGTAAGGCATGATGGGACTTGTTGTCCAAAACATCTTGGGAGCCACAGGTTGCCCACCCATTATGTGGACGGGAGTGAGATATGGATACATATGCAAGGAGTTTGTCTTTTAGCCCTGGAGTGAGTCCAGCTTGCTTCTGGCTTAATAATTTTGGGACAGATGTACCAGACATACCAGCAAATTAGGCTTTGCTTCAGTCAGCTTTGCCCCTTCCTTCATTTTATGGACTTTATTTTTAATGTAATATATTTAACTAACCTCTCCACCTGTTCCACACAGCAGTTCATAAATGCCCACTTATATAGTCTTCTTCTTTAAGGAACACACATATATTCATCCACTCATCCTATACTTTATTGATTAAAAAACTAAGATTTGTGAACCTTTTAAAGGGACTCAGTAATATCTTGGATGCTTTGCAGTTGGCACAGCCACAGCCAATTTTGGGTGCAAATGTGCAGAACTGGTCATTTAAGGACCGAACAATATATTACATGAATTACATGCCATATAGCTGTGCCTCCAAGGTCATTCACTCCTATGTAAACATGTGGGGACACTGTAAAGCAGTAGTGGAAGATCAAACTTCTCCCCACCCTTTTTTCCTTGTAATTACATGTTAAATCACAGCCACTGTGGGAGTTAAAGGAAGAAGAATATTTCTCCACTCTCACCAATGGATGTTTTATTCTTTTTTAAAGTTCTGTCCCTGAAGTTGGTCAAATTTTGGAGGTCAGATAGGTGGGTGGAGGAAGATTTAATCCTTGCTTCCCAGAGTGAATGGGCCCAATATAAATGGGGGAATGAAGACACACTTGCACAAGAGTAAATAAACCCAGCAGGCTTGGCTGCATACTGTACAATAAGCCTAACGTGTACTTTGGTTCTTAGAGCTTGACTCTGGAAAGGAAAGTTACCCTCTGAAGAAAAGGCAAGGAGTACACTTCTGCATCTGTTTCTTCAGAGGTTTGTTGGTTACTGAAGTTCCTCTTTTCCAACCATACAAGGCCTTTTGTGCCTTCATGGAAAAATATTTATAAACTGTAGAAACTCCTTTCCATTCCTCAGTTTTGCATGCATTACCAAACCGCCCAATTTCAGACTTTAAACTTAATACTCCCAGATTTAATACACTCAGACTGAGTTCAGTGAAGTCATTAGCTTTTGAAATAAACAACTGCAAGAGTTCTTTCCTAATCTCTCTGAGCTAATGCTAAGGTGATTAATAAAACAAAGAATGTAGCTGGCTAACATATTTGGCTCACTGACTTGCCAAAACTGAGTAATCACTTTAAAGGGATTAATAATATCTGGACATTAAACACTGGATATAGCTGTAATTTTAATTAAAAATACTTACAAAACCACAGTTTTTAATGAGAATGTTGAAAGCTCTCTGTGGTCTGAGTCAATGAGCTCTGGAAGAGTAACATACCCTGTATAAGCAATGTATGGTTTCAAAGACCAGTCCTGAAATCCTGCATTTCAACTGGTTATTCAGCAAAGAGTAGTAGCTTGAGATATGGGGTCTTAGGACTGATCTCTCTGTTGCAAGCACCACTTACAATGGCTTTTGTATGCTGACCTCATAATGATACATGCTTTGCCATGCAGCTCAACCAGGAGGTACAGAGAATCTCTGACCATTCACTAAAATTCAGGTTGCTGATTCCAGGATAACTCTCTGTGTGACCCTGTTGACAAATGGAACACATTTGTCTATATAATATGGCATTGCTGCATGAGGGCAATTTCAGGGAGCCTTATATTGTGTCCCTGATGCATAGAGTGTACCGTCCGCCATCTATTTTGGATGTGATGATGAACGAGAGAAGTGGAAGCACACTTGCTTCCCATTTCTCATGCTTCTCTGTCCTAGCTGAAGAGGAACAGTCACATCTCTTTCCCATGCCATGAGCAGTTCTGGGAAGTCTCCCTGCCATCAGACAGAAGGGAGACTGGGAGGGCATCCACTGTACTTCTTTGTCATGTCTCTGTGCGAAGTGTTAGGAGAGGAGTGCTGGCTAAAGTGATGCTTTTCCATGAGATTCCACCTTCACTGTCTGAGTATGTGATGATCAGCAGAATCTTCTGTGGCAGGCCATTCGCCCCACCTTAAATATCATGTGAAGATCCAGGAATGAGTTTCTTTTTGCATTTTAAGTGTTAATAGTAGCCCGTACCATTCCACCCTGATCACATTGGCATTGTGACACAGAGGAGATTACACTCGCCCCCAAGCTAACTGCCCCATGGAAAACATACACTCATTAGCAGGGTAACTCATTAGCAGGTAACAGGGTTTTGCCCAGTGGGTAAATACCATATTTTTGGGGAGAGTGACTTTGAACTGATGGAAGGGTTAAATCCAAGCACCAGAGGCCTGGTCCAAATTTCCCCTTCCCCTAACTGCTGTTAATAATGCATCTCTTGTGATACAACAGGTCTTCAAACTTGGCCCTAAGCTACATTCACTTTATCCCTCCTTGCTTTTCAGAATGATATGGGTGGACAACGGATGCTGGTGAATAAATGGACCACTTTTCTCAAAACCAGATTGATCTGCTCTGTGCCAGGGAGGAATGGCATTGACACACATTTTGACGAGTTAGGTGAGTTCCATGTTTTTGGCTACATAGCCCACTGTAAAAATCTAGTGAGCATCCACAGCTATGCAGAAGTCCTTGCTAATAGTACCTTTCTTTGATGACACAATAAGCCATGTTGGGGGTGGAGGCTATGCTTAGGTGAGTTTCTGTCTTGCACAGCAGCTTTTCCCTGCCTTCTTCTAGCAGAGCCTCAAGAAAGAAAATAGAGCTTTTGCTTTGATTTCTGATTAAACACAACTTGCCCTTTCATCTGAACCCAAAAAGTTGTGGTTAATCCTACCTGCTTCTTTGAAATAAGTCAACTTGAAACCATAGGATCTGACATAGTCTTGCTTCAAAAAAAAATGTAGTCAAGTTTAACCACAATTTAGGGTTCAGTCATAATGCTAAACTGCAGTTAATCAAACACTGAAGAGAAACTCCTGACCTCTTCCTCACAACCCCACCAGGAGAGAAGAGGGGTGTTTGTGCCCAAGGCTTGCTCAGCTCATTCCTATCACAATTAACCATAGCTTATCCTGGCACATTAACCACCCCTAGTCTCAGTAGTAAGCCAACAGAATTAAAAGTATAAACTTGTTTCCTTGCTGGGTAGTATAAACAGCAACTAAAGCTGCTGCTACTCAGAAATAGGAATGCTTAATTAATATTTAAATGCCATCATGCTTCACCTTTGCAGAGGATATCTTTTTGCTCCAGACTCGTGACAACAAAAACCCAGTGATATTTGGACTCTTCAACACTACAAGGTAAGCAAACATGTTTGATGGCACTAGAGGTCTGACAGATACATTTTGAGGAACTTGGTTTACAGTAAATTTAAATAGCCAATGTACCCATTAACAAATAAAGGGAGTTTATTTTTTTAAGGAAAGTTGGTTAACATAGCAAACCAGAGCTGAAGCTTGGTCAAAGGAGGAAATGCCTATAATTCACTGTGCAGTTTTATACTTATGCAGCATCTCCTTGAATTTATAATTCATTTCCTGAAGTAGAAGTGCAGGAGCATTTATGTCAAAAGGATTGTGCTTATAGATAAGCCCTCAAGGTGTGCACCAAACCTCAGCTTTGATGCCAATTTGGCATTTCAGAAAATGGTCCTGTGTCATTCAGAATAACTCAGAGCCTGTCCAATTCGACTCAGTACCACAGCTGAAGCCAAGGTTTTGTACTTCCCATTGACTATTTGGGGGGGGGGGGATAACCATAATTCTATTTTTCTTGGTCAGAATTAGATTATAATTGCAGTCACTAGGAGCAGATTGTATCTGCCAGACTGCAGGAGAATTGGTGTAGGGGCTTTTGTGCTAAGAAAGTGCTTCATTTCAGTTAGTGTTTTTTAAGAAAACTGCTGATAACATTCATGAAAATTGTTGAGATAACTGATCTTTCTGAGGGAGTCAGAGAAATATGGAGGCAAGTTATAGAAGATACTGCTGTCCAAAGGATCTTTCCCTAGGCACTTGGTCTACTCCAGCTTTCTCCACCTTTGGGCAGATAATGTCTTCTAGTAATACTCCTGCTACTAAATATCACAGATACTGATGAATGAAGAGGGTGATCTTTCACTTCTTATTCAACAGTGAGCCCCTCTATGTGCAATAGCTGATACATATAAAGATGTGTACCAAATGAAATCCTCAACCACCCCTTTACAAAGGTGCAAGGTCACCTTTATGAACAATTGATTCATAAAAAGCAATTGTTTATGTGGTTATGTGAGCTGAAAAAGAAAGGGATATATCACACAGTAGATAAACAATGCATGTATCTTCATTTATGAGGTTTTCTGTGTTATTCCATTGTATTTTCTTTTATTCTATCGTATTTTATCCACCTGGCTAATTCAATAGTCCAATTGTACTCTATCTGAGACTTTACTTCCTCAATTTTTATTTTGCAGTAACATATTCCGAGGATATGCTGTATGTGTCTATCATATGGCTAGTATTCGGGCAGCTTTTAATGGACCATATGCTCACAAAGAGGGACCAGAATACCACTGGTCTGTATATGAAGGGAAAGTGCCATACCCAAGACCTGGATCAGTAAGTGCAAAAGAATTTCCTTTTTAGCCATTAGTATAGAATAGAGTATTTTATTTATATTTTGAGACTAGGCAAATCCTGATAAGGACTCAGTCCCTAGCTGGCATGATGTTAAGCATTTGCTATAACATTTCAAGAGCATTCTGCACTGCAAAGTTATAGGAAAACATATAATAAAAGAGCTTGAATTATGGTGAGATTGACTGCATTCTCCATTGCCCATTCCTTGACTTAGATATTTTTGCTGCATTTCTGGGCTCAAGGATGTGCAATATTGCACTGTCACCTTTTGAGATCAGAACACCTTTCATTTGGCTAGCCAATAACAAATGGGCAGAAAAATTGGCTGTCATGCAAGCAGAGCCCAAGCATGGATAAATTCTGTAGTAAATCTTGACCAGAACTTGGCAGAGCTTCTGCTGTTGCTGTAAGCATCACTCTGATCAGTTGAGTCCTCTGTTTGATTTCTGCCGCAGTGCTTTTGAAAATGGCACTGCAAAGTAACATCAGAGTGCTATGAAATACCAACCCCATATGTGTAGATGACCTAGCTACTCCCCATGCCTTTAAGAGTTGTTCAGATTTTTGAAAAAAAAATGTTTTAAATCCAGCCAAATCTGATGTTCTCAGTGCTTGCTTGGGTTGGAACTTTTCAACAGAATTTGGCACTGTTGTTTCATTGGCTGTGTCCATGCATGGAAAACCAGACATTTGAGCTTCTGCTGAAAGCCACATGCTTTGCCTTTTATGACAAGGAGCCAGCATAAATTCCACTGCTGGCTGATTAGAAAATACACTTCAGACCCAACACAGAGCAAATAGCTCAGAGTAGCCAAGCCCCAAGAAAAGGAAAATAAACACTGCCTCATTTGACAAGTGCAGGAGTTTATTAGTGTCAATTACAGCCCTGACACAAGTTGAGACTGAGTGTTTCCAGTAAACATGAAAAGTATTTTATTTCACTTTATTGATTGAAAATCCAATTTAAATTGGGAGAGCCTGCTACTGTGGCTGTGCTTGAAATCTTTCTTAAAACTGCACTGTTTTCAAGAGCCATGGAGGAAATAAATGATTACTAAAATATTTCTAACAGAATCCTAAATGGCTCCAATTAAAAAGCACAAGGCAAGATGGAACAGAAGAATCCATAATGAGTTAGAGGAACTTTATCCTTAATTTTACCAAAAGATTTAAAACTTCCTTTTCAGGAAGGGTCACTTTACAATGGTGGGCTGGGCCAGAGGCAAAGGGGCAGGACGAAAAGTAAAACAAGGCACGGTCAAAGATATCTCTCCAGAATTATACAGAGAAAAGCAACATATAGAACTACCTAGTAGCATTATATCACCTCAGGCTCCCATCCTAGGTAGACAGAAAACTATGCATTTGTCCTGAGAAGCAAGCTATTCCAAAGTAAGGTATAATGAACCCAGAGCAGAGCAGTCTAATGTAAAACTGTCTACAAAACAACGGCATTTTACACTGTTCTGCATCTCAGCGAAATAAATTCAAAAAATACTAGCTCACTTCAGGGTGCGACTATACAATAAAGCTAGGGCAGGAAAGAAGCTGGGGGAAAGCCAGAATGTGAGGTATATAAATGCTGTTCATATAAAGTAAAGAAAGCCTAGAAAAATTGATTGGTGGTTGGGAAAAGAGGGAACCATCCAATGATGGGGAAAGGGGGAAAGCCCCAGGAAACATCTGAAGATTGACTGGTGATATAAAGTGACCAGTGACCAATCTCAAAGCTCTGTAGCTGTAGCTTCATTTTGGACAGGTTTTCTAACCTCCACAGCAGATTCTGCAGCAGTTAATGTCCAAACTGATCTCAAACGTTCATGTATGCAACTTCCAACATATTTGGTTTTTAAACTACGCAGTTCATTTATTCTCTTTATTTTCTCAAAGTGTGATGCATATAATATCTCAATCTCACCCAATACCTGGATGCTTTAATAGCCCTTGACCTAGCCCTGACCTGGCAATACACCTCAATAAGAAAGATAAGCCTATATAGATGGCACAAGGCCCTGTCCTGGGAGGTACTGAAGGGGTCAGAGATGCCTGTTCCCCTGGAACCCAGCAGAATGTTCCATACAAGCTTTCACCAACCTGATGCTTGCATCCAGATGTATGACACTGTAACTCCCATATCTCTTGCCATTAGCTGTGCTGAATGGGGCTGATGTGAACTGTAGTCTGGCATGTTTGGAGGAGTGCACCAGATTCAGGAAGTCTGCCCCATGTGATGAGGTGCAATACTGAAAGGGAATTCTCAATTGCTCAGGTGTTGGAAGCGCCTACATGCAATTTTGAGCAGACAGACATAGATGCAGTCACACCTTCCTGTTCAACATGGACGGAAAAGTTGGAAACACAAAGGTCATAGGCAGGAATGTTAGTGCTGGAACAGCAAGATAGGTTGGTGTGTCCTGTTGAGGGATAATGCCTGAAGGGGGCTAATGAGCATGTCTAAAGTTAGAAATAACAGTGAGCCTCATATGTGGATAGTCTCTGCTTTCATTTTCATAACCAGTTATCAATAACATAACCATGTCTCCTTTCTGTTTTCCAGTGTGCCAGCAAAGTGAATGGAGGTCTGTATGGGAGCACCAAAGACTACCCAGATGAAGCAATTCACTTTGCTAGAAGTCATCCACTAATGTATGAACCAGTTAGGCCTGTTCACAAGAAACCTGTTCTTGTGAAGACAGATGGGAAATACAAACTCAAACAAATAGCAGTAGATAGAGTGGAAGCAGAAGATGGGCAATATGATGTCTTATTTATTGGGACAGGTAAATGAAAAAGAGGGAAAGGGGTTAAAAAGAACTCAGTTTTCCTTTCCCCTGACTCAGTTTCCAGGCCTGCAACAAGCTGTTCTTTCTTCTTGGCTTGGCTGTCTCCAGACCTTAAATGATGCATCTCCTGATGCCCACTTCCTGCTTCCTCCCCTGCCCATGCTCACTTCCTCTTTTCTCCCCAGCTTCCCTGTGATTGCCATATCCTGTTAGCTTAGGGAATGCATGTCTGTTGTCTTACAATGAGTCCAGCATTCCTTTGATCTCATTCCTTGTGATGGGCAAAATGACTCCATTCTCATAGCAAAGGGGAAATTGGCTCATCATATATTACCTCTTCTCAGTTCCTTCTCTCCTTCAAACTTTTATTTGGGTCTGCTTCCTGTAAAAATGCATCTGCATGCTTTTGGACTAAATCTAACTGAAGATGATAGTAATGAGGGCAGTGATGACAACAATTGGACAAATCTTTCAAATCATCAGAAATTCAGTGGTATGATTTCTAAGTGTGACTCAGATTTATTGATGCCTTCCATGCTGTGAGATATGAGGGAGCAGAACAGCATAAATGCTTCTAGGATCACTTCAGTGTCCAATTGTTTTAAACCCTGTCCCATCACTTTCTGCTGAGGCAGAATGCTCTTCTTTGTTTTTTTAAGAGTCTTCCAATTGGGGTAATTTTCTCAGTTTGAAGATATAGTGCAAGCATCTGTAGAATTCATGCAGTGCCTTTCCTGTGTTTTTTAACTAAAGTTTTCAGCAATGTTAACCTCTGAGCATCTTCCAGAACTCCTGTCTTTTAAAGGAATGTTTAAAAGGACGTTAGCTAAATTGACCCTAATGACATAATTTCTGTGACATTCAGATTTGTTACTTTTGCGTCTTGTCAATCATAATCACAGGGCTACAAGTGTGATCTGGCTTAAATGCCACACCCCCTGGGGAGGCCTACATCCTGCCTTTTCCCTGGCCAATGTTCACTTGTGAGCATTGAACACAAACGCTAGTCTGCAGTAGTGGTTAGAATACTGGGCTGAGTTTCTAGTGACCCGGAGACAAGTCCACAACCAGCCCTGAAGTTCATTCTATGAATTTGGCCAATCACTGATTCCTGCAGACTTGATGAAAAGATAAAACAGAGTTTAGTCACAAACTCATTTTTATCAGGGTTACGATCCCACATCCTAAACATCAGACATGGCCTGTTGAATATCCTAAAGCAGAAAAGCGCTGTGGATCTTCTGGCCCATACTTGCTGGGGCCAAGTCACCTATCCCAATGTCACTCGGTGTCATGAGCTGGTGCTCAGGTGTGTTACATACCACCAATGAGAAAGGGAAGAGTTGTGACCATATCCTTTCCTGTGTTTGCAGTTTTAAAGGGCGATGCCCAGTGTCCAAGTCACAGTTCTAAGGTCTGTCACTATTCTCTGTGCCTTGACTGTATCACCTTACAGAGGTATAGTAGGGATATTCCAGGGTTTTTTCCCTCAGCCAGTGAAGTATGGCAGTTAGTAAATTAGCTTAGGATTGGGAAGTCCTGGGTTCAACTCTCTACTCAGACAATATGTTTTCTGGTGCCTTGCCACAGGGGCATAAGCAGCCTCATCAGTGTTGTTCCGAGAGTAAAATGGGACTAGGAGGAAAGGTGGGATAGCTAAGAGTAACAACTTGTGTGGCTCTTAGATCAACACACAAGCAAAACCTTAAATCAACCAAAAGTTCCTTTTCTAGTGTTTCTGTATTTTAGAGCGGATGGAAAATGGGTTTTATAAATGGTACCATAGAGCAGACCCTCTGACCCATGTGGGACAATTGGTCATTATTAATTTAACTCCCATCTATTTTAATTGGTCTATCCTAAACTAAACATAGCTCTAAACCAATATATTCACCTTCTTCTTATTTTACTTGCTAGTTTCAAAGCATTTTGTCCTTCAGTAAATGAAAATTGTTACCCGTACTAAGTTGTCTGTTGTGGTTGTTATTGTCTTGAAACTCACCTACAGATAATGGAATTGTACTGAAAGTCATTACAATTTACAACCAAGACACAGAATCAATGGAGGAAGTGATTCTTGAAGAACTGCAAGTGTTCAAGGTAAAGTATCTTTCTGTCTCTGCCTTACAAGGTTGATAAGACTTCAAGGTCCTCAGTCTGGCATTTGGCCTAGCCAGAATGAGGCTAGGTAGAGCTCACAGAGGGTATAGAGTTTAAGCAGCACAACCAGACATGGCCCTGAGTGCTGTTTTGGCACTTTCCATGCAAATAGTTTGTGGCTTTAGTATATTTTGTCTTGTGAATTGTTTAGTGAGTTGCTTTGGCCCTTTTTGAAAAAGAAATTCAATAATATTAGAAATCATAATGACCTAAATTGTGCAAGGCCTTGAGTAGGGCAAAGAATTGGGAAACCACAAAGCTTCCAAGAAAGCTTCTAGGACTGGCTTGAAAAAAAACTGGATTATTATGATGGGACAGACAAAACATATTGTAATATATTGTTGTGGTATATATATTCAGAGAATGGCTGTGTCTGAGCTCAGACAAGGAATGACTGCCTTACAGATTGTGGTCTTCCCAACTGTCTGCTTGTGATATGAAAAATGAGACTTTTCCCCCCCACTTCTCTCTGTATTTGCCATTTGCTGATTTAATGTCAAACACGAACAGTTCTTTAAACACAATTCCTACTTGAGGTTTCTAGGGTTTTGCATCTGTTAAAACACTGTTGGCCCTAGAAAGCCATTAACAGCCCTCTGCCAGTTTTACTGCTTTCTTGTTTCCCCTTAGGTGCTTATGTTAACATTTATGCACTTTAGCATCCAACTAATGGATGCTACTGTTCACAAAAGGATGCATGAAATTACTATTAGTAGTAGTCATCGTAGAAATAGTAGTATTTTCATTTGCTGGCCTATTTTTATTCTTTGCCACAAAATTGCCAGGGGCCACCAAGGTGGTATCCAGCTTTCCAGTACCATCTTGTCACACTGTGATCAATGTATCCTTCCTCAGAGCATAGCACTGTAGCCTAAATGGATCTGGAGAGCAGGATTCAATCATGGTGCTGTCTAGATTTTTGGACTATAATTGCTATAATCCCACATAACTGGCCAAGATGTCTGGTGCTGATGGGAGTTATCGCTCAGACCATCTTGAGGGTAACAGGCTGCCTACTCCTGGTTTAACTAGAAGCATTATATTGCTATTTGATTATATTTTTTAAGGTTATCATACTCATGTCCTACAGATAGGTTTCACAGTACAATGCAACCACAAGATGCAGTGATAGTCACTGTTTTGGATAGCTTTAAAAGGAAGCTAGATAAATTCAGGGAGGAGAAAGCTATCCTGAATGCTGTACACTACCTCCAGGGTCAGAAGCAGTTGTTGGGAAATATGAGCAAGGATAGTTGCACTCAGATCCTACTTGGCAGTTTCCCACAGGAAAAAGGTTGACTGCTGTGTGAACAGAATGCTGGAAAAGATACACCTTCAGTCTGCTCCAGCAGGGCTCCTCTTAGGTACTTATGGGTGGGTGTCCCCTCTTTCTACCTCACTGTGCACTTATAGTATAATGTGAACATGAAGTAAGTTTATATGCACAACCACCCAGTTTATGGGATTGTTCCAAAAAGGAGGAGGAGGAGGAGGAAGAGGAGGAGGAGCAGCAGCAGCAGCAAATTTCTCATTTGAGACAACACCCCCTGTACTGTCATTCATGCATGCCTAGCTACGTGTGTGTGTGCTTATGGTTTTTTAATTTTTGTACACTCCCTTGGTAACTCTGGCAGAAAAGTAATAGTAATAGTAACACTGTCCGAATGGAGTGCCTGCATTACACATGACTTAAATGTGTGAAGGAAGGGAGGAGAGATTTATGCAGCTCTTTGATTTCATGAACCCTTTTACTGCCTGGTAAATGGCATATGAGAGCCTTTGAGAACCAGAAAGATGGCATTTTGTGTGACAGAGTATCAGGCAGTGTTTGTTGAATGAATACAAATAACATTTGTGTGTCCTCCATCATCACCACCTCCTTGAATTGTAACTACAGAGGCAATCTGTTTCCTAAATCAAAGAAAACGCTCTTTATTTCCAGGTGCCAGTTCCTGTTATATCCATGGAAATTTCATCCAAAAGGGTGAGTGTTGTCCTGAGTCAACGATTATATGGCTTTACTCTGAAGTTTGATTGCATATGCCACTGATTTACATCTGAAGCAAAATTTGAAGTGCATTTCAAGGGTCGTGCTCTAGTGATATGCCTGTAAAAAGCCTGAAAGAAGCTAAAAGGCTAACAGTCCAGATGGATGAATCAATCCATTTTCTGTGGGGGGGGGGGCAGTTTTCCAGTTTCTCATCTTCCTGGTCTTTAGTCCTATTTTCTCATTAATTTTCAACCTTAACAAAAAGCTGCTGAAATTTCTTATGCATTTCCACATTTCTCCTACTATGTGAATTTTTACATGCATGATTATCTAATGTACACATATTTTCCCTTGTATAATTTGTTTTGGTATGTTTCACCACTTCTAATGTACACATTTTTGTGTGCACTTTCTCCAAATATACATATTTTGCATGAGCACTTTCTACTAATATGCACATTCTAATTGTGCTTTTATTGTTGTTTGGAGAACGGATCTAGAGGAGTGCAAATGCTGAAGAATAAACTGCTTTTCACATATTGATTAGGAAGTGCAAATTTTGCAAGTTCACTACAAATGTGAACTGAATGAAATTCTTCCCCATCCCCAGCAAATATTAATTAGGTAATGCAAATGGAATATATTATGGTTGTTCACAAATGCTTAAGGCCTTTCTTACAGTGGGGATAAGCCTCTATCCCATGGTGGATACTTGTCCATGCAAACATTTTGTCACATACAAAACCAGCATTTTAAGGAGAAGGCTAACATAGACACATAGAAACAGAGCTAGTCAGGAGGGGCCTCCCAGGCCATCTAGTCTGACCCCTGGCTCCAGCCAGCTCCGTTCACGACATGCCCACCATGTCAAGTTTTCCACATATAAGGGTTATTTTCTTCAGACAAGCCCTCAGTCATGGGAGTCTCATGTGTCAGAAAATCCCTGAGTCCTCCCTGAAAGTTTTCAAAGGAATATTAGAAAGGTGGGAGCCAATGACAAAACAAACCTAGAGAGTCCAACCATCACAGCTGGCAAAATTGCTGGAGGAAAAAGTGCCAGCTTGAGATAGTCAAAGTATCTTATGCTGAGATTCCAGAAACTGCCTCTTACACATCCACAGTTCTATTTTGAGATTCCTTCCTCAAGGTTTAGCCCACTACCAGCAGCCTGCCTTCTGAGGCCAAGTCATTCTGGATCCCTTAAGTCTTGAATGTGATTCCCTGTAAGGAGTTTTCCCCTCTACCTTTTCATTGCATATTCAATCCCCATTCTCCTCTTCTGCATTATCTTCTTTATATAAACCCTGCCTCCCTTTCTTCCTTTGGGTTGGATATTTTACGTCTAGAATTGTGTTACATCAACCTTCCTTCACCTGGTGCCCATGAGATGTTTTGGATGACAACTCCCAACAACCCCAGCCAGCACTGCCAACAGACAATGATTATAGAAACTGCAGTCCAGAAATCTAAAGGATCCACATTAGCAATCTGCAAGTGAGGATATAAGAGGATGTAACATTCACTCATTTACAACCATCAGGGTTGTTGTTTTTGACACAATCTCAAGGTGACTCTGACACAACTCAGATTCTGGTTGTCATATTTTGCCAGAGCTCCTGGACCTGTAGCAACAGCATAGAGGACAAGGGGTTCAATATGAGAAGCTTTCAACCATGCCTCTGCAGACTGAAAAAAGATTTGGCTGCATTTCCATCATCTAGCTTTGAAAGGCAGAGCTTTCCACCTTCAGATGACCTACTTCTGCGAGCCAGAACACAAAGGCTCCCTGTAATTGTTTTATTCTGGCCAAAACCTTGCATTTTTGCTTGTAAAGCAACATTTCCTACCCTGGTGCCCTCCCAATGTTTTGGACTTCAACTCACATCAGGCCCAGCCAGTATGGCCAGTGGTTCAGAATGTAAGCCAAACATGCAGGCTGAGGAAGGCTGACTTAGAGACTGCAACTAAATTTTAAAAACAGAAGTGTATGCATATTTACATGGGAGTAAATACCACTGAATACAGTGGGATATACTTTGGAGTAAAATACACATAGGATTGCCCTGTTAAATGATGTTACGAAGGATGCAGTTCTCAAAGTATCTGTCACTATGTCTTATTAAAATCAGTTTAATTTCATTAAATAAAATAAGGATTGAAATATTTACACAAATTATAAAGATGCTTTAGGAAGATTTGCAATGTGATGCAAAATATACTTCAGTCTTATTTGTTTCTTTTCCTCCTGCTCCCCATATATTTTTTTCTCATGTACTCATGGCTGTTGCTTTTTCCTCTACTTCAGAGGAAGTAGCATTCTATAAAATAACTTTGCTACTGTTGTGCAACCAAATATGCCATATAAAATTAGTTTTCCCTGAGTGATGTCTAGAATTTTAAATATCAATGCATACTCATGCTCCAGTTCTTTCTGATCTATTTCTCTACACACACAAAGCTAGTTTCAAGCTGTTTTAGAGGCTCTGGCCTACTGTATATTACCATCAACCAAGAAGTAAGCAAGCCATCTTCCTGATTCATGAACAAAATGGGAACTTTATGAAAAGGCAGTTGCTTGTAAATGGAACATGACTGTCTGAAAAAGCATAGGGATTTAAGCACTTCAAGGCAAAATGGTCAGACTCAATATATGCTGTATCTAAAGTACTATTATGCAAGCCTCATTTCTTGGAGTGCTAAGAAATTCCAAAGGCACGACAGATTTAACCTGGTTTGGTTCCCTTTGGGAAGAGATTACTGAAGGCTTCTTGCTGGCATCTTGTAATATTTGGGTTTATTTCCAAAGTACACTAGTAAAGGGATGCACTGAGTGCTGCAATCCATGGTCAGCATGCATTATTTCCACCCCAGGACCCCATGGAGGCTGCCAGCAGCCCAAACTATCACTAGCTCTGAAAGTCTAAAGCGTAGATCAACTCAGGTAGCCTCAAAATGGCTGTATCTCTTCACACAGTCGGCTGGATTATCTCATCCCTTGCTGGGTGGAGATAGGTCTGCCTCATGTTTTGATTGCTCCTTGCATACAGAAGATTCCTCAAGACTTACCATGTATCAAGATGTAACTAGCAAACTATTCCATCCCTGGGAACTGGAACATTACTGCTGCTATTGCTTGCAGTTTGCATAACAAAAGGATGTGTGAGTCTAGACCTCTGCAGAGATTTTCCAATTCTCCCACTCAAGCTTACAACTCATATACACCCATATCATATACCATAAAGAGCCATTTTCCATGGTTCTGTCACATTCTAGCTTGATCACAAAATGGAAGTCTCCCTGGGAGGTATCAGCTGCATTTAATAGGTTTTACTGACAAAAGTACTGAAGGATGTACAAATGTAATGAAATAGAAGGAAGATCATATCATGGTTCTTGTTAAAAAGTTTAGAGCAGAAGATGAGGATACAGTTTATCAGCTTACAAGAGCACAGCTCACTCACATCACCAGTTAAAGCTTTCTGTTAGAGATGATGCTGGAAGAAATCGACCTAATTAGTTTCCCTACCCTTCTGTAGTTTTAGACATGAACATACGATCTGGTGCAATTGGGTACTGTAGACTTTTAGTCCCATCCCTTCACATCTGCCCATACCTCTCCTTCATGTGACCTTTGCCCATTGAAAAAAGAAACACATTTGCACATCAGCATGGTTGCACTGTTATTACATGCATGCGCCAGTTTTAACTATTAGATGACATACCTCTGCATGGTCTGCCATAAATCTTATTTTTCCCTAACTCCATGGTGTTTATTGGTTCAACTAGTTTTGCCTGACTCAGTTGTCCTCTGTTCTTGGAGTCACTTCTTCCACTTTTTGTGTACTTTCACTTTCTAAAGGTGTCCAACTTTGATCAGGTTAAACGCATGTAGGCTTCTTCTAGTGTATATTAAATTCCTACATAGGACAACAGGAAACACAGCACTTGCTCCCTACTTGGTTCGCAACACCTGAGCTAAGTTACAGGTGGGGGAGGCAATGCTTCTCCCAAGCAAACTGGTGACCTAACAAGCTTTGTTTCGTGGTCATTGTCCAGTACACGATAGAACTGCAAGGGATACCAGCTTGTATACATATTGATGGAATACAGTCTCCTACCACTCTGTTTGAAGCAAAGGATCCTCTTAGTTAGGAGTAGATGGTTGTACTGAAGTATTTGGTGTGTTCCTTTCAGCAACAAATTTATGTTGGATCGGAGTCTGCCATTGCACAAGTAAAGTTCCATCAGTGTGACATGTACGGAACAGCCTGTGCTGACTGCTGCCTAGCAAGAGATCCTTACTGCGCTTGGGACGGGATCTCCTGTTCCAGATACTACCCAACAGGCACACAGGCAAAGAGGTGAGAAACTTCTCTCATATCCAAATCAAATGGTACATAGGCTTTTCTGTACTAGAAGGTTCCATTTCTTCCAGAATCAGGAAGAGTCCATGGCCGCCATAATTCTTTTCCTCCCTGGAGGTCTTCAAGCAGAGGCAGGACAGCAATCCATTTGGGATGATCTAGCTCTGGATTTCCTGTATCAAGAGGGAAGATGACCTATAAACACCTCCCAATTCTTTGATTCTGTTATTCTATTGTATAGGAAAATTACCCAATGTTTTATTCGCATAGCTTCAAAGGATTGAAACTAGCATATTAGCATACTGTGATGTGTGGAATATTTGATTATGGTCTTCTTTCTTCTGCACTCAGATGGGCTGTACCAGTTTTACCCATTTTTCCCTGGTTCTTTTTTTCAAAACATCTTTCAGTGGTTGTAATATAATGAATAATAAATGTATAAAGGGTAGCTGCTCAGGAAAACAAATGCCAGTGTGCATTGATCCGCTTGAACTGGTTTAGGTATTTGACCATGAGGCATTTCTTATTATAGAAGAAGGAAAGTCATAATCCAAAGTTCTTTGTCAGTTAGAGGCAGGCAGTCAAAGATTGCTCAGGAATTCAAGCCCACCTTCAGATGCAAAATCTAGGGGTGAAACGAAATGGATAAGAAGTCTGGGATCTCCCAGACTTTCCTCCCTCCCTCTTTTCTCTCTCTTTCCTGTTTAAAAGCACCCGCTGGGGAAAGAGATTGGATTGGGGCAGTACCACTGAAAGAAATGGGTTCACATTTGTATGTTATCCTTAGCAGGATAAAGAGCTTGCATGACAATTTAGACTATGGTTGTGATGGGAATCGATATCCTCTTCCCAAGTTCCATAGTTGCAATCCAGTTCTTCACCACCACCACCTTGCTGCCCCATCGCTGCTTTTAGTAGGGAAATAAAGGATCAGGAATCCACTCTCTCTCACCTGCTTTGGTCATTTCACCAACACTGGCAGTAGCTGTTCAGCCTTGCCTTAGCCTGCTCCCTTGGCTTTTCATTTTCACTGCTTCTTTCTCCAGCCCATGACTGTCTCCTAATAGGGAAGGCTCAAGCACCCTTTGTTAGCTTTCCCAAGTAAAACAAAGAAGCTGAAGTCATGATGAGCTGGATAGAAGGAAACATCCCAGCAGGCTGGGACATGACAGAAGGACTTCAGTCAAAGTTCAATTTGCTGGGTTGTCTGATTGTCCATCTTTGAAGATAGATTCTAAAGAACACACTGAAAGCTTTCTCTCACTCTCTCACTCTCCTCATTATTTAGAATTATAATAAGTTATTAAAACCATTCTACAACTTCAATGAAACCATAATATGTTCAAAATACAAGTAGATAAATATGGATACTGTGAGAATCTTTGTAAGGGTTATAGAATGGATTTATTACACAAATGAATAAAAGAAAATACCTTGTAAATAAAGTAGGTAACTTGCATGATATCCTACTTAGCATTGCCCATGAATTAATATGATCCTACAAATTGAAGACTAGAGGGATGCGATGCACAGTGGTTTAAACTGCTGAGCTGCTGGGCTGGTTGATCGAAAGGCCACCAGTTCGAATCTGCACAACGGGGTGAGTTCCTGTTGCTTCGTCCCAGCTCCTGCCAACCTTGCAGTTCAAAAGCATGCAAATGCAAGTAGATAAAAAGGTACCACTTCGGTGGGAAGGTAACAGCATTCTGTGCACCTCGGTGTTTAGTCATGTTGGCCACATGACCACAGAAACTGTCTGTGGACAATCTCTGGCTCCCTCAGCTAGGAAATGGAGATGAGTAATGCCCCCCAAGAGTCAGACACGACTGGACTTTAATGTTACGGGAAAACCTTTGCCTTTACAAATTGAAAAGAGAATAAACAGACCCCTTTTTCCAAGGATATGTGTTCTTGTTGTTTCCTTTCCCACACTCTAACAGTGTTAGTTAACTTAATAACTTACACCATGTCCCACAACCTATTCGTCTACTCCATAAGGCACTGGATGCCTTTTCTTCCAGTAATAAGCAAAGTGTATACAAGCTGCTGTTACATGTAATGCACAGACAGTTCAACATCCTTCTCAAGTACCAGATTGTTAATATAAAACAAAAACAAAGCACCCGTTGTTCTGATGTATGTGCCATCCTGCCATGTCTTTAATTTCTGCTGGGAAAAATAGCTGATAACTTCTGATGTTTACAAATTTCTGATGTTTACTGAAAGATACAAATTCTATCTGCTTTTGTCCAGCCTCCACTCTAACACATCCCTCAAAACAGCACAAAGTTTACTCCAGAAGACTCAAATATTGCCTGTTTCATCTTGGAAAAAATATTTAAGATTAAAATATAATTTTTTTAAATGTACCTTAATCTATAGCCATTTCCATATATCTGTTGATCTTATCTAGAATGGATATTTTCCCACTCTGCCTGATACTACCTTTTAAATTATTCAGTTTTAACAATCATTTTATACATGCCACTCAATATTCCCTCTGACTTATTTGATTGAATCAATATTTCAAAACCAGAGTTTTCTGTGAACATTATTTTGAAAACTGCTGTTTAACCGTGTCTTTGACTTGGAAGTGTTGAATAAGAAAGTTGGCTTTGCAGCATTTCTTGTTTACTTTGGAGATAACATTTGATTAACCTGTTCACCAACAATTTTCTAAGTTCTGTCAGCCCTGCCTTCTCATAGAATTTCATATTTCTTAACAAATTATTTCAAATTCCTCAATATATTTGATTGTAGTGATGAGTGGCAGACCTGGACTTAGAATGCTCTTGAATTTTTGCAACTACTAAAATAAAGTACACATATACTTGGTTTATTTTGCTAAATCTGCCTTCCTGCAATACTGCAAGTGTGTTTTTTAAATTTGTGTTGAGAGGTGCTCTTGTTCCAAATACTTAACATTATAATTTTTTAATATTGCATCTATCTTCAGCCAGAAATGCTTTCAAAGTAGATTGGGTGGCTGAGAGGCATTCTTCCTTAGGTAATGGATTTGAGTGTGGAAACTGAAGCAATGCTCTGACAATTTTCAGACTTGATCTACCTCACAAGATTTCTGTGAGTTTTAAATGTGTGACAGAAGGATGCATATGTGGGCTGCATGTGCCCCCCCCCCCCATTCTCTTGTGCAGCCCCCACCCACCTCTGTCACCAAATTTGGTGGTGCAGCAGCAAAAAACTAACTGAATAAATCATCCAGTGCAATGATCTGTAGGACAGATTATGTACTGATACATCAGGATGGACAACTTCAGACTGAGGGCCCCATTTGGTTGCACAGCAGTAGGAGATGTCCAGGGATGGATTCCCAGAAATAATGTGACAATGCATCATAGACCTGACAGATAGTTGTGTTGGATACTTTGCTCAGATTGCAAGATTTTTATGCTTACAACTTACTGTCAGCAAAGCTTCTCCAAATAGGGTTCATTCAAATAGCATTTGCTCTGTGTGCCCTGCACTCTTTTGGAACAACGGGTGCCACAAGTACCTTAGAATCAGCCTGCATGATCCAGTGATCCACTCTAAATCCCATCTAATGGAGCACTCTGTCTCCAGCCGCAACTCACTGGATGCCTTTGGGGAGCTCACAGGTGGCACATGATGGGCCATTCCATTTCATAGTGACACAGCTCCCAAACCTTTGAAAAATATGCAAAGGTGGCTCTTATCAAAATAGTGCAATGCATCTTCTGTATCAAAGGGACTGTCTTCATTTGTTTGCTTAACAATACAAGATAGTTTCCACAAAAGCCCCCTATTTTTGCTAATTAATCATAGCCATAACATGTTAAGGCTATTTGGAAAGTCTGGATTTGGCAGAAATAGTTTTCAGGAAAGTATACTAGGATGGGATGGGCAAGGCTGCATGGGCAGGTTTAGGTGTTTATACAACATTTAATTATTTATTTAGACAACTTATATGCTGCTCCCTTTGCATAAGCCTTGGGGCAGCTTCCAATCATAAATAAATTCCATCATACAAATGCATAAAATAGTGGAGACATCCTGGCGAAATTTTAAAATCAATAAATAACATTAACAATTTAAATAATGTTTAAATAAAAAGGTGCCAGGCAGACCTCTCTGGGGAGCATGTTCCATAAGTTGGGCACCACCGCAGAGAAAGCCCTCCCCTGGGTACTCACCCTCCTAATATCTTTCACGGAAGGTTCCCAGAGAAGGGCCTCTGCCGCAGATCTCAAGGGGTGGGAGGGAATATATGGATGCAAGTGCTCCTTTAGGTAACCAGGTCCCAAGCCATTCAGGACTTTGTAGGTGACTTGGACCCAGACTTGAATGGGGAGCCAGTGGAGCTGACAGAGGACTGGGGTCACATAACGCCCAGTCCCTGTCAGCAACCTGGCAGCTCCATTTTGCACCATCTGAAGTATCCGGACCATCTTCAAGGTCAGCCCCACATAAAGTGCGTTACAGAAGTCTAATCGGGAAGTAACCAATGTGTGTGTCACCATCGCCAGGCAATCGTTCTCCAGGCAGGGACGCAGCTGATGGATCAGCCGAAGCTGAAGGAAAGCGCTCCTCGTCATCACTGTTACTTGAGCTTCCAATGATAGCTCTGAGTCGAGGAGCACTCCCAAGCTGTGGACCCTGTCCTTAAGAGGGAGTGCAACCCCATTCAGAACAAGGTCAAAGTCCCCCACCCCAAAGCCCAACCTGCCTACTAACAGGACCTCCATCTTGTCTGGATTGAGCTTCAGTTTATTGGCCCTCATCCAGCCCATTACCTTGGCCAGGCACCAGTTCAGTACAGCCACTGCCTCACCTGGATTAGTTGAAAAAGAGAGGTAGAGCTGGGTATCATCAGCGTACTAATGATTCCGCAGCCCACACTTCCTGATGACCTCTTCCAGAGGTTTCATGTAGATGTTAATAGCATGGGGGACAAAATGGATCCCTGCGGAACTCCATGGCATAGCTGCCATGGCACAGAGCCATAGTCCCCCAGCACCACCTTCTGGAATCGGCCATTGAGATAGGAGTGGAACCACTGCAAAGCAGTGCCCCCTACCCCTGCTCAGATAGGGAGTCTGTTGGGCAGAAGGGTGCACGGTACACCAACAGAATCCCCAATCTGTCTTGGTCACCCAACACCAAGTAGAGGCACTCTAGACCTAGCCTCGAGAGGACGGGAAGCTTTAACATCAAATTAAAGAAATACTGTGATAGTATGCAAAGTGCATTCTGGAGGAAATTATTCACAACTAAACTTTATTGAAAATTAGAGTAGCTTCTATCAGGATAGACAGTCAAACTATCTTCAGGATTTTGAGAAATGGCAGGATGGGCAGTCCTATTTTTCCCCAAAAGAGAGAGCCAGAAACGTGATTTTGTCAATCAAATAGACTTGCATGCAGCTGGATTCTATATGGGATAATACTGTCATCAGGCTTTAGAGACTCAGTCCCCTGAGGTTGAGATATGTGGAAAAGCATGAAACAGAACTTCAAGTAATGCTCATCTTTTGGCCAAACTAGCATGAGAAATTAGGGGATGCTCTCTTGAATACCATTTGCCAGCACATTCATTCTGTTTAAATGTAGGAGCCAAAATGGGAATCTTCTAAACATTTCTGTACTTGATGTCACATTCGCTAAGCATCATTCATACAAATACTCCCAATAGAATAACTTGAGATTATTCCCATGCTTAAAGAAAATAGATTTTGGCTGCTGCTCATGGAAGTGATTAAAAAATGTATTGCCCCATATGGACTTGGGCAAATGAAGAATTGTTCCCTCCTGTGTGCCCATTAATCGAGTAGTCTGTTTTTATTGCAAATTAAATGCTCATCTAATCATATATACGTTTTATACACCAAAACATGTGGGAACAATCCAGCAAGCAGGTTGATAAGATTTCCAACATCATTTCATGTCAAGGTTGCTTTCTTTGCTTGGAAAAAAACAAACACTGATTTGGTATTTCTGAATTCAGAATATATTTCAATTTAGTTCTTAAGATAGAATACATACTTCCAACTCTGGGGTTTATTTAATTAAGCCCATTTTATTTTCTTTGTAAAAGGGAAAGACAAATCCATGTGGTCCACAAGATATACATCCTCATTCTATCATGGCAAAGTTCTTCCCAAAAACTAGATGAACATTGCTGTGATAGGAAGGAGGCTACAATAGGACAAAATGCACCAACCACACCTTCTCAAACCCAGTGACTTTCAAATAGATTGAGCTGTCAGAGGGCCCCCACGTTGCCATGGCTGCCAGGCAGGGGTCCTAGCTCTAGGCTCCCACCTTTGCTCAGATGTGCCAGTCACCTGATGGGCACACTGGAGATAGAATGGCTTCTTGTGTTATGTGAGCCCTCCCATTCTGTTCTTCACATTGGTGCGTGCCACACAACAGTAGCCTGCTATAGTCATTTACTCTTGTGTAAAGATGTGTGGTCCCAATTCAGATTGGAGTAATGGCAGTCTAGGAGGAGAGGGTTTAAACTTTCCCCTGCCCTTTTCTCTTAACATTTGTCCCTACTCCACATTATTATATATATTGGTATTATTATCATTATCATCATTGTTTGTTGTTATTATTGGTTTTGTTTAATTATCTCACATATGTTGTGGGCTGTCCAGAGAGCCTATGGCTAATGGGGTGGCATAAAAATCAAATAAATAAGATGGGGTGTAAAAAGGGGGGTCTCCACTGGAATCAATAGAGGCTTTCTCCATTGTTTTAACCCCCACATGGAAGGAGTGGAATTTCAGGGAAAAATGGGCAGGGGGAAGCTTATACCATCCCCATCCAGATCCAGAGTACATGCTGACTCAAAAGTAAAGCACAACAGTTTCAACTACAGCAATGTCATTTGCAGAATGGGTCACTTGGCCCTGGGTCTGTTAGCTTGGTCATTGTCCAAATGAAAAAGTTAAGCAGCAAAATGCACCTGTTATTTAACAAAGTCATCCATTACCCTATTTTATCCCACAGATGGCATTTGCTATTGCAGAATGTCTTGCCTGCACAATAAAGAAATTGGCCGCTTTCGTGCAGGTGTAGATCGGTATCCCATCACCATCGGAGTGCTCCTTCCCTCTAAAGCTGAGGCAGCCTAAGGCCTTCACCTCATCAGGATGGCATAGCTAGGCCTGGCTTGTCGCATTCAGGCTGCAAGGTCTGTAGGTGCTCCCAGAGTTTCTCTATACCTAAGAATAGTGATGAAGCAGAGAAAGAAGGGGGAGGAGAAAGTCCCTCTCCCTCAAAAACCAGATATCAGGGAGAAAGCTTTTAGCCTGTTCACAAGCTTGAGTATCTGCCTTTTTAACAATTCTTCTTTTCCCCAGACGCTTCCGCAGACAAGATATCCGTCATGGAAATGCAGCTCAGCAGTGCTTTGGCCAGCAATTTCTCGGTAATTCTTATGCTATCCAATAAGAATATTTTAGGAGGTCAATACATAGAGTTTAACAATGCATATTATACTAAGAAGTCCTGCAAACTTTATAGTCATCCCACACTATGCTAATGGTGAATTACTTAGGTTTATGTTCTTGACAGGTATCTTCATTAATACATTTATACATCAATACAGAAACCTGAGACTTGGATTCATGGAACTGCTCAAGCACAGAGATATCTCTAACAAAGATTAAGTGAAGCCTTTGGTTAGCGTTTGCAACATTCCATGAAAGTGCTGAATTTGTAAAAAAGAGTATCTTCTGAATGCTGGGTTCATTGGTTTAAGTGACTTATGAATCGGAGTCCATGAAGACCAGAGTCGTCATGTGAAGCCCCATTACATAACAGCTGCCCCCTGGTTAGACTTCTGTGCTCATCATGGGAGGACGCCATGGGGTGGAGACAAAACTAGCATATCAGGGCAATCCTGAGGAGAAGCCAGGAACTCAGCCCTCCTCTTCCAGCGTATGAGTAACATGTGCATAGGGCTTTTATGTCAGAAAGATCTGCTGTGACTTGAATATTGAGGCCTGATGCAGGTTTCCCTTGTATTCAGCCATGGGAAGCTTCGGAGGAGAGAAAGCGTATGTGCATGTCTCATTGGATCCTCCTCTTTATGACTAGTCTGTATATCCAGTTTGGCCTGGTTCCTTGCCTGGACAAGCACTAAATGCAGCCCTTCTTGTGTTTGTCTCGAAGCTGTTTGAGGATTTCTATCAACTTCATCTTCAAATCTGCCTGCTGCTCTCTCCAGGGACCACATTTCTCATCTGTCTACACAGAAATCTTTGTCATTTCCCACAATTTCCAGCAGTCCTCCCTGCTCCAATCATCTCTATTTGGACTCCTAGGCCTACCCCCTTGCCTTGTCTCCGTTCCAGTTGTTTTCACATTCTGGGTCTGAGATGGACAGTGCATGTTCCTCCAGTTGTTTTGGCATGCAACTTTCATCAACCCTCACCATTGGCTATGGCTGATGGGTGTTTTAGCCCAAAATAGCTGGAGGGCCACAAGTTGCCCAGCCCTGTTCTAAGATATGAAGTGACATTTCAAAAGGGATGTCAGGGTCAACCATTTACAATGTTGAATTCTTAAGCAAAAGATTTTTTGAACCTGCATTAAATGAATCACTGCCTGAAACTCACAGAATTCAGCAGGACAATACATAAATCACATAGCAGCTAATTGCAGCTATATTTTCCCTCATCCCTGCCTTTTTAAAACACTTTTTTGGAGGAATCTGGTTCTTCTTGGGAATCCCACACAAAGGGAGAGAAAGTTTAATCATTCTTTTCTCAGCTTTAATTTTACTGTTACCTTCCCAGCCTCATATCTATGCAAGGGGGAATTATCAATAACACTGGGGATAATGAAGGATTAAACTTACTCTTATCAGCACAGGGACATCCTGATAAGAATCGGAACTTCCTCATTTCCTTTTCTAGAATTATTTTGTCATTATTAAGTCATTATTTTTCAGATCTGGTCCAAAAAATCTAAAGGAGGAGCATGTTCTCTTTCTCCCTCCCTCTCCACTAGATATCTTGCCAGAAAAAAATCCTACTTGATGAAATCATGGTTTCCTGCAGAGCAGATTAGAATTTGGAAAGGAAATACTTCACAAAGCAAACAGTTTTCACATCTGTCCTGTGATGTGAGGAAATTCTTTACTGTTCAGCTTTTCAGCACAGTTATCTGAAGAGCTGGTTGATGAACATTGACAGAAGATATATAACATATTGTTAGACTTAATTGTAAAATAGCATGCATTAAAACTTTAGATAGGATTGTAAGCCACTCAAGGGACCTTTGGATGACAAAGTGGTAGATTTCCAATGTTTAAAAAAGAAAGAGTTCATCATGCTATTCCCCTTATACTTTTGTGTCAGATTCAGATCACAAAATGGGGACAAAAGACATTCGCCCTCCCCACACACACCTCGTATTGTTGTACAAAAACATATGCTGGTGCCGGAGATCAGACTAGATGGCCCGGGAGGCCCCTTCTGACTCGCTCTGTTTCTATGTTTCTATGTAATACAATCACAGATCTGAAGCCAAAAGTGGTGCATTGAGAGATGGACTTCAACAAAGAAACTTCATCCATTTGGTACATGTTTTACAGTTTGTAAGGGGCTACACAATGTTTTGGCACACTTTCTCATTCTGTAAAGATCAACAGATGAATAAAGTCTGGCCTCAGGACAACAAAATCATTTCCTGAGTTACATTCACTGAAGTCTTGATCCACCAAAGCTGGAAGCCCAGGCATGTGATCTGGAGCCAGGCATATGAACCCTAACTTTGTTTCACCCATGAGCGTGAAAGTTCAACTTACAGATGGAAACATTTGAGCATCTTGGTTGATTGAAAAGTATTGACTATGGATAAACCTCCATTCTACCTACAATATCAGGAGAAAGAATTTATATTTTTCAGATAGCCTACTAGGGAACATTCAGATGGCTTTCTGGGTTATTCAATGGAACTGTAGTTCCAAATGAGAGGCCCTTGTTGTGCTCAGTAGGACTGCAATGTTCTTAAATAAGGGAGCAAGCCAAAAGATGATGCTTACCTTTTTAAAAAGGGTGTGATCCTACAAAAATTGATCCTAAAGAAATTGGCCCTAGAGAAATTGATTCATGAGACAACTGTTAAGCCATACGTCTCCTTTCTTCTCTTCTGTGCTCTCCTGAGACTGGCAGGTAAGTGTGTGTGTGATCTTGGCATTATGGTGAAACCCTGGGTGATAAAGATAGCTATCTGTTTTGTTGGACAATGGGTGGAGAGGCACTAGAAAGAGGGATGATTTTCTGTAGTGACAAATGCAGCATGCTCTAGGAGCAGGTGTCTTTTATGGAACAGTTTCATTTGGCTGAAGATTATCGGTCATCTGCACACTTTAGTTACATTAAGGAGTGTCATGGAGCTTTTCCATTTCCATCACAGCCCCACTGTTGTTCTGAATTGACTATTCTACAGCTCCGTGGAATACTCGAAAAAGCTTATTGCAATGGTTGTGTGATTGATTGATTGATTGATTGATTGATGGTAAGACTCATGTAGCTAATGTCTCAAGATCCCAGCTGTGTTTGACACAATGCTAGAAGATCTCTGTCTTATTTGAGCCAGTCAAACAGTCATTAGATATGGACGGTGCACACACTGAAAATTGCAATCTGCATATTTCTAACACATTTTGTGTGAATTGGGGGTTTTGTTTTTGTTTTTGTTTTCTTGTTTTTGTTTTGGTTTTGGTTTTTGCATTCTTCTCACCAATGTGCTGCATACAATGTCTGATTTCTTTTGGAAATGTATCTGTTCTGACAAATACTATCCATCAGGTTGACATTAAGATATGTGCAAATTGTGGAGTGTAGAATAAATGCTGTACTTCACAGAGTGGATATTAAGAAGAATAGGTTGGAGCCTTATGTCATAAGGCTTGGTTGGTTTATCAGCTCATCAAATATGAATTTTGGAAAAGGTTGCCAGGAGAACACAATTTAGCATTTCCTTCCTCTTGTTATTACACAGACTGTGATATACATGGTGGTGGTGGTGGTTGTTTTTAAGCCCAGGAAATTTGTACAACTTGCAGGTCTGAGACTGAAGAGGGAGGGAGGGAGGGAGGGAGTGATGGTAGATAGATAGGCCCACAGACCAAGGTACAGGTATATAGATTTATGCAATCACAGCCTATTTTAAAAGCAGAAATCCACCCTGGAAATTACACTTCTCTGAGATTTTAGTGCACTTCCTCCTTTACAGGAGAAGCCCTGGATAAGACTGAAGAGCGTTTGGTATATGGAATAGAATACAATAGCACTCTCCTGGAATGTATCCCAAGGACCTTGCAGGCTAAAGTGATCTGGTTTGTACAGAGAGCACATGAAACCCAGAAGGAAGAGGTACTTTTTCATTGAATTCAAGTGTAAAACCTTTCTTGCCCAGGTCCTTGAATCTATTTCATATATGCTTCTGTATGAATGTCATTCAGCAGTATGTGAACTTTTGAAAGATGTGCAAGGAAAACTGTGTACAAAATGTACTCTGAAAAGCACACTTGAAAAATGTGCACAAAAATATGTGCACATTTATGTGCATGGTGCTGTGCATGGTTGTAAAGCTTGTATAGATGATATAGACTTCCATGTGGAAAACTAAAATTCTTAGCAATATTGAGCTTCAAGATTCTGCCATTCCTGTCTGTAAATCATTATATGGTTAAACAAATCTTTCAAGAATCACCATATGCAATCTCCAATTGGCTCCAAAATGAGCTTATTTTGGTATTAATTATTTGATTTGTTAGGTAATACAACCATAGTATTCCCTTCTTAGGCATGGTTAGTACATTCTTGGACAGATGAGTTATGCACATGGTGATCAGAAAAGATTTATCCACCCTTCTTAGATAGGGACAGCTTCTCCAGACTAGCTTCAGATTAACCTGGAAATTACCTGAATATTTTTCCCCAAAATGCACAATTTTGTTCTGAAAAACTACATGCACATTTCCGTTTGGGGTTTTCTCCACAACCACCGCCCCCCCCCCCCCATGCAAACATGTAGACACTCTGGGAGCTTGTACTGTAGTACAGTGGGTGGGGAAGGGCTCTGGAGTGACCCAATGCAGGGAAGGAGGGAGGGCTTTCGCCTGGTGAGGACCAGCAGGCCATCCCCTACCATCATTTTGGCAGCTAATGGAACAGCTTCCACACAGGAGAAGTTAGCAGTTATTTTCCAAATCTGCTTTAGTCAAAGTTGGAGAATAATTCAGGTACTAGGAAATTTCACCTGTCAAATTGGAAAGCTTTGATAAGCTCCAAAAGTTCTTTTTTAAAGCAGGGCCTACAATTATGCTTGTTACATTATAGGAAACACTAGCATAACCCATCCGTTCCAAATAAAGGGTGACAGTTACCTGCTTGAATCGCAATTCACTTGGAAGGTGGTATACACATTGGTTACAGCCCTCTGGCTCCAAAAAGCATATTTGGCCTTTGCACAGCCTAGAGGAGCTGTAGGTCATGGGCAAAGCACCAGCTTTGCATGCAGAAGGTTCCAGTAGGTCTGGGAAACCCATGAAGCCTCCTGCCTGCCTGAAACAGGGGGCAAGTTTTTGCCTGTGAGAGTCTGTACTGAGTCAGGTGGACCCATGCCTGACTCGGTATAAGTGCACATCATACATTCCACATGAATAACCTGGGCCTTATGAAGCCAACCTTGTTTTGATAAAGAGCTTTGTTTTATTTCCCCATTGACAGTTGCTTGGTGGGAGTCCCCCTTTGCACTAGCCATGATTTCTAATAGCAGTTAGGACATCCTCACTGCAAGCATATTGTCTGCACCGACACTGAGCAAGCAGTTTAGGAGTTAATTTGAGAGCCATGTGGCTAGTTCATATGATGCCCACATCTATCCTAAACTTCATGAACATAGTGAAATGCAAAGGATAAAGCACTGAGAAGAATAAGAAACTGAGTTATATTCTGGGATAGTAGAGGTAACTCCTGTGGTGCAATGAATTCCCTTGCAATTGTGCTAAATTCCAAAACCCCAAAGTACCAATGCACTAAATATGCTGTGCCCAGTATATATATTTCACCAGAGCCTTTCTCTGCAGAACCACTTCTCATGCATTATGTTCCTCTTAGCAGTGGTTATTGCCTTTCATGCCATCCAAACAAGGAGAAAAATGGGTGGGGAGGAACCCAATGTGTTCCATTCCAACAACTTTTCTCCCAGCTCAGGGAACTGCCAATCAGAGCAGTGGGCAAGTGGAGGCTCAGGAGGGGTATCCTGCTCACACCCACTCAAGCTGGGTGTTCAATCCTATCCCTTAGTTTTCATACAGAACTGAAACTGACCCCATTCTGACACTTGCTTCAGTTGTGATCACTGCTGCCTTCCCCCTAAGTTCCACCAATTTCAGGGGAAAGGTTAAGCTTAACTTGCTTAACTTAAAAGAGTGATATAGTAAAATATTTAGTTCTTGCCTGGATTGTGCCACAAGAAGTTTGCAATGAACTATACTGAATTATGTTTAAAAGATTGCCAAGTTTTACCCCTGGAATGCCCCTTGGTACACTTTTCAGGCCCTCCACCAGAAATCCAGCTATGCAATTTTGTGATCCTTTTCCAACATTTTAAATTCCTCTTTGACTGATTCACCACTGACTTCCCCCATCTATCATTCGTTGACTATTCATATTATAGTTAATGTTCTTATGATTTATTGCATGCTTGTTTTATGTTCACTGGATAATACATTTTCTCCTTTGCCTTGCACTCAGGTGAAGACTGATGACAGAGTACTCAAAGTGGATCTTGGCCTCTTATTCTTAAGGCTGCACAGAATGGATGCTGGGACATATTTCTGCCAGACAGTGGAACACAGCATCATTCACACAGTAAGAAAAATCACACTTGAAGTTGTGGAAGAAGAACGCGTCAGTGACATATTCAACAAAGACTATGAGGAGGATGCGTCTCATAAGATGCCATGTCCTGCACAGAGCAGCATCCTGCAGGGCTCAAGGCCGTGGTACAAGGAATTCCTGCAGCTAATAGGCTATAGCAATTTTCAGAGAGTGGAGGAGTACTGTGAGAAAGTGTGGTGCACAGACAAGAAGAGGAAAAAGCTGAAGATGTCTCCATCGAAGTGGAAGTATGCCAATCCACAAGAGAAGAAGGCGCGCATCAAACCGGAGCACTACCGCGTTCCCAGGCACACTGCTGACTCTTAATGGGAAATGAACTCATCCTTATTCTTTGCAGGCAGCATAATTTTGCTCGGACCTAAGGAAAGGGAAATCAGTCTTAGATTTGGTAATTAATACAGGTTTATATATATATGAAATGTTGAGACTGGAAATAAACAAAAGTGTTTTAGTAAGTTATACACTTGACGCCTGCATAGTAGATGCATTTTCCTGCTTATTTGTTGATCCTAAGTGTACCATTCCATCATGAGTTCTCCATTTAAGGACAATCTGACAATCATCTTATTCAACATTTAGTCAAGCTTGGACCATGCTTGTGCTGTATATTCTAATGTGTTGTGGGACTATTCAAATGAAATCAAATGTTAAGGCTTTAATAAGCAAAAAACAAAAATCACCCCTGTTTCTTTATGATTTTACAAGTGTCTTGTTGATTTTTCATCGGGCATACCCTGCATGGCTCACGGGCTCTTCCCTGAGTCTTGAGAATCCCAGTTTCTCGTTTCTGAAAAGCATATTTCCAGTTCCTATCGGTGCAGAAATCAGTTTGAAAATGAGATGACAGCCTTGGCTAAAAGAAAAACAATGAAGGATCATAAATCAAAATTCAGAATCAAATAGAATGCAAAAATTGTTGAGCACAGTGCAGCAAAAGTTGCCATGACTATACCTCATTAAAAGCAATTGTATGAGAGTTAAGTTTGAGTAACATCAGAGACAACTGACCATAACTAATTTCAGATCAATTGTGTGTTTCAGATTAATACTCTTCTTACATTTTCCAAATCCAGCTACTGAAAATTATTAAGGTGTCCTCTTTTGAGGAAAGCCCTTATAAATTGTTGCATTAGAAGCACATGCCCAAGTGGCCACCAAATCGATTTTGCAGTTGAAAGTAATGGTCCACTCCCTTGCCACCTGCTTGCACTTTCTTGCCAAGGGCAGAAAGCTGTACTTCAGACAGGGGATGCGTACGTTTGAACAGAGGACACAGCACCAATATCATCAGAACTACTTTAGCTCTTCATGAAGAGCACATTGTTTGATTGTGGACATGATCTGTAGGAAGTCCATCCCTGTTTGTGGAGCCACTGATATTGTTAAAGGCCTGATGAAATGTGCTGCTCGTTTCATTGTTTGACTTACTGTTTTCCATTTACTTCTGAACTGCAGCCAAGGAGCATCTTTTGACTGTGTGCAGCATTTATGGTTTTCCTCTAAGAGGATAAAATAATGAGAATGATCTAGAGTTGGAACAAACTCTTGGCTGTCTGTAAAGGACTAAGATGGGTACCCTCTTGTGGTAAGAAAGAGCATGTCATTCTGCTTTACATACTCAAGTTGAGCATAATATGACAGATCAAGTCCGCTAAAACTATGGAATGTTATTTAGTCATTTCTGCAAATAAGTTTCTCATTTCCTGCCACTTTCAGTTCTCATAGCAAACTAACACATTCATGTTGTTTCAATGTGTTCTTCTTGAGATCTCCCCCCCTTCCCCTTCCCCCCCTTCATTTGTCTCAGCTGCTGCTCAGTCTTACAGAATTCTGTAAGACAGGGTTAAAAATGCATGGTCCTCCAGATGATTTGGCCTACAATTTCCATGGTTCCTCAGCTTTAGCTACGTTGGCTAGGGCTGGTGGCAGTTGTAGGCCAAAACATTTGGAGCATCACAAACCAACTATGCCTGTTTTAAAATAATTCCATTTTTATTAATACTTTCTGTTAGCACCTATAAGGCTGCACTTCTGTTCACACTTACCTGGGTGTAAATCCCATTGAAATCAATGGGACTTGCTTCTGAGTAGACTTGACTAAGCTTGCACTGTAAGTGATATACATTAACTTCTGTCTTTTCAGAAGTCAGTCCAACTTTCTTCAGTGAACCTTCTCCCAGATAAACCCAGGATTACTGCCTCATATTCTTATTCTCCATCCTGCACCTCTGGGAAGTGGGTAAATAATTTTGTTAATTAGGAATTTGAGACTCAGTAGGACATGAAGGAACAGATGTGAAGAAGGCTTTCCTGGATGTTGCCATCACAGAGCAGAATATTTGCATCAAGTGGGGCAGTGCATTTGTGCTAAAGAAGCCTGTTTTTGACAATCATGCCAAGTCTAGCATGAGATTCATTGTGGAGTGGCTGCTCACAGATAAACCGGCACCTGCAGAAATGAGATTGTGCTTCCAGGGCAGAAGTCTTTAAAGGATTTCAGTGCTGCCCTCACTAGAATGCTCAAACAGAGTTTGGGGATCGGGGAAAGAGGATCACGTGTGGTGTAGTGGTTAAGAGCATGGGACTGGGACTCAGACGATCTGGGTTCTAGTCCCCACTCAGCCATGGAGCCAACTGGGTGACTTTGGGCCAGTCCCAGACTCTCAGCCCAACCTACCTCACAGGGTTGTTGTTGTGGGGATAAGATGGAGGAGGAGATGTAAGCTGCCTTGAGCCCTTTGTAGGAAAAAGGCAGGATATAAATTGAAAAATAAATAAAAATAAATAAAATAAAGCACCGTGCTTCCATCCTATCAGAAATGTGCTCCCATTTTTGTACACTCCCTCAATTAGGGCTCCATCTATCAAAAGAACCACTTAGCAGAGATGAGGGTCCTTTGCTGACGAAGTATCTCAAGCCCATCCCCTGTGACTCACAGTCTTTGTAGAATACAAGCAATCTACACATGTGACTATGCCAGTTATGGGCCCATTACTGACATCATATTCATTTCCGTTACTTCAGTTGTTGATGTTTAATATCTATTTCTCTTTGCGTAGACTAATTAAATATAAACTGAACTGCCAGACATCTCCAAATATTGTGTGTGTCATCCTCCTGGAACCTGCCCCAGGTTCTGTCCATGAGGCAACCCATGATTTTGCATAGCTCCCATTGATTTCAGTTGGACTGAACTTCGGAAAACAGCCTAGCCCTTCATGAATAACCTTAAGAGTCAGGGTACCTATGAAGAGAAAAGGGCCTCCTTTCAGAAGTAAAGAGCAATGCACAAACTTTGCCACATCTTTGTTTGTATGCAGCTGACAAGTAAGGATGGGTCTGCTTCTAAAATCTTATACTGGGTTTGTGTGATCAGGATGCTTTCTGAAACAGCAAGGTAAAATTTCAGTGACTAGTTATTTTTCTACTGTTCTGGTAAAAGAAATGGCACAATATGGACAAACCTTTGTGTTCTCCAAAGCTCTTTTATTTAAAAGAAAATAAAAGTCCTACCTCTTCTATTCCGTAGTTTCTAAACCCATGAAATAATGAAACATAAACATGTGTAAAAAACAAGTCCTTGAATGTGATGGAGAAAGTAACAGAGGAAACAGTGGATAAAATACTTTCCTTCTTCAGCCAAAAATACTGGCAAGGAAAGCTCTCATGCACAAGCCTTTCTGTTTCTGCAGCTTAACCTGAATAGACAGAAGATCTATGAAGAGACATGTTAAGTTCCTCTTACAGAAGCATGCTGTCTAGCAAGCTTTAGTTCTGCAGTTTGCCTCTGCATCACTGCCACATTGAGCAGTCCTGCAAAGGAACCTGAAAAGGTGCTTTTGCCTCAGCTCTGCCTGATGAACAACCGCATCTGCAGTGGACAAAACTGATGGGATTTTGTAGAGCCAAGTGCACCACAACAAAAGCCTCTCATGCAATCCAAACTGTGAACCAGAAAAAGTGACCATCCCAAGGTCATATTCCCACAGTGACTCCATCAGCCCTATCACTGCAGTTGGTTAAACATAAAGATACTGTCATTATGCAATCCTAAATGAAATGTTCTGATCTGCACCTCTTGGATTAATGTGCAAAGTAGAACTTAGTTATCCACTGGATTTTGGACTTCTCTGAGCTTGCAAGTAAATGTATTAAAATATATGTGAAGCATAAGGGAGGAATGGAAGAATTTGCTTCTAAGATATAGATGAATGTATTCTAAGCATCTATTTTTCTTGATACAAGAGTCAAACTTTTTGATGCACAAGCTTGTTCCATCCATCTCTGCATCAGTTTGCAAATATTTTATTAAAAAGCCCACATTAATATTCAAATGCATTTTTGTACTTAGTTTATGCATTTTATGTGCAATTTTCTGTACGCAATGCATTTTTGAGCAGGGAACTACATCACAACACTTGGAGAAATATAAAACCAGAAGGATAATCCCTTTCTAGTTTGCTTATTTGTTTGGGAAGTATGAATTAGATATGTTCTTATTAAAATTAATTTCTCACCATCTCTAATTTAAATATATTAAAATATAAATTTTAATATGTGCCCTGATACTTCTTTTTACAATTGCAGATGAATGGAATAATGGAACAGGATTGAATTTACGGACAAAAATAAGTGAAAGCAACACCAGCTAAACATGGGCAGATTTAGTCATCCTAAATAAGCTTTTTCTTTCTTTTAATTTTTCACATAATTTTTCTCACCTGTGTTTGTATTTTAGAATCCAGTAATGCCATATTATCAGAATTTGCTGGGTCCTAATTTAAAATAAAACAAAATTTGGACTATTAAGCCTTGCATGCTCTGCACATTTACCTAGGAGTAATTCCCACTGAACCCTGTCTGAGTAAGTATGCATAACATCATGCAGTAAGAATCATCTTTCTTCTTCCTGGTGTGCGGATAGATTTAGAAATGAAGAATGAAGCCAATTACACATCCACAATTTCACTAAGCTTTAAAAAAAAAAAAAAACCTGAATACTTCCCATTGGCTGGACTAGATCATTTCCTTGGAATATTTTATGCCCCACCTGCTGTTTTAGCCTGGCTGTTTGGGATAGGGCTGATGGTAGTTGTAGGCCACAACTTCTGGAGGGGCAAAAGTTGCCCACTCATATCCAAGGGCATGGTTGTTTGCAAGGTAGTACACAAGACTCCTAGAGTTCAAGCACTTATACAAGTTGTTCATCCTTGTCCTTGAAGGCCCATTTTGTACATCTTCTTCTGCATAAATATGTTGGGCAGCAATTTGTCCAAAGTCATTATAAGAAGGTTTTAATGGAAAT